CTTCTTCTTACTAAACGATATGGCTACACACTTTTTAATGTTTAGATCCATGTGGTTTGAGAGACACCAGTTCTGGACGGCATCGAGACTACGTTGGAGGAGAAGGCAGTCTTCGTGGCTTCTAATGGTACGGTATATCTTCAGGTCATCAGCAAATAGAAGGCAATGGTTACCTACGTGGGTCACAAGGTCATTTATGAAGATGTTGAAAAGTGGTGGACCGAGGTGTGAGCCCTGGGGAACACCAGATGTGGGGAAAAATTCGTGAGATAAAGAACCAAGAAACTTAACTTGGACGGGGCGGTTTGCAAGGTAGGACCGGAACCAAGATAGCATTTTCCCAGTTACACCAGCAGCTTGGAGCTTGGTGAGGAGGAGCGGATGGTTTACCCTGTCGAACGCCTTAGCAAAGTCAAGATAAATTGCATCCACTTGCAAGCGATCTTGAAAGGCATCAAGGATGTCAGCTTGCATTACCAAAAGATTGGTGGTAATTGAGCGTCCGGTAGAAAATCCATGCTGCAGTGGAGAGAGATACGGCTTGATGGCAAAATTCAGTCTTTTGAGGATCAACTTTTCAAAGATTTTGGAGAGTGTATTCAAGATAGCTATAGGTCTGTAGTTGCGGACGTCTAGAGTAGGACCAGATTTGTGAATGGGTAAGATGTAAGCACTCTTCAGGGCATCAGGAAACACACCCGAGGCTAAAGAGTGGTTAAACAGAACTAAAATAACAGGAGCTAGTACATCAGCACTTGATTTGAGAACATTAGGCGGTATGTTGTCAGGGCCGCAACCCTTAGATCCATCCAGGTTCCTGAGGCAGTCGACAACTTCCCCAAGCTGAAGCGAGCAGGAAGAGAGGACATCTGAAGCTCCCACATCAAGTGGAGGATTATAGGCATGATCGTTGGTGTAGACCGACGAGAAGAAGTCAGCGAAGAAGTTGGATATTATATCAGGATGCTCCGATGAATGATCATCATACTTGAAGGTTCTAGGCTGATCATCAGAAGATTTAAGGTTCCTCACAAAACCCCAGAAAGACTTAGGATTGCCCATTATATTGGCTTGAATAAACTGCAAGTAGTTTTTGTAGCAGATTCCAGAGAGTTGTTTGCATTCAGCTCTGACACGTGCAAACTTGACGTAATCATTATCCTTTAGGGACGTCTTAAAAGCCTTGTGAAGGATTTTCTTCTCGATCACCAGCTCACGCAACTGGGGTGTGAACCAGACGGGAAAGGGAGACTTGGCAATATTTTTCATGGGAGTATGACGCAAAACTATGGTACTGACTGTACTGCAGAAGCTATTAAACAAAGCATTGGTATCTGACTCAGGGTCAAACCAACTAAAATCATGTGACTGAAGTTCCAAATGAATAGCAGGTAGATCGCTTTGACTGAAGTTTGGTCGGAAAATAGGAGCTCTGTCAGAGATTTTTTGAGGCAAAGGTACATCTATTGATAAAGCAGGATGATGAGACTCCGCTGGAACCAGAGGATCAGTGTCTTTTGATACCATGATGTTGTTGAGGGAACACATAATAAGGTCTAGACACACTCCACGGTCATTTAGGACATCGTTGAACTGACTTAAATTCAAAAAGGACATAGAGTTCATAACCACGTTGGACTGAGCTGACTGGGGGTAGGGGGGGTCGGCAGTTTGGCACCAGTTCACTTCAGGTAGATTAAAATCGCCAATCAGGAGGGACTCAGTGGGATTAGTGGTAACAACAGCTTCTTCAATAATGGAAAAATACTCCTGGTAGAGATCTCTGTGGGATTTAGGGGGAAGGTAGACGCCACTTAGAAGAAAGTTCGATAGAGCGCCACACGACAGTGATACCACCAGACACTCAACATCTTCGCTCTGGATATCAACCCTCCTTGAGCAATACTTCTTGTCAACAGCCATCATCACACCACCACCCGAAGACTTGGCACTATTATCCTTAGATCGGTCTTGCCTGTATATATCAAAGGTGCTAGGGAAACCAAGTTCAGAGCTAGAAATATTAGGTAACAAGTTAGTTTCCGTAAGAACAATAATATCATAGACACATGTCGAGAGTGACTTCCTTAGATCCAAAAGTTTCGTTCTCAGTCCATTCACATTTTGATAGAACATGTGAATTGTGTGAAGGACTGGGGAGTCTAACCGTTTTTTGGCTTTTTCACAATAGCGGGTGTACCATTGACAAACTTGATAGTGAGATCGGTTTCGCCTGTTTTTGTGCGCTCTTCCAGCTCTTTCCGTAGTTTGCTTAAAAGCTTACGTTCGTTTGGAGTTCTATCTCTAGAAAGCTCTATTTCGGAGAAAGAAGCGTGAATCGAGGCAATCTTATCAACAGAAAACGTTGTAAAGAACGAACGAACATCATCAGAAGATGGAAGAGTAACCTTCAGGGGACGAGGAGCTCGACCCTTACTACGGCCGATTCTAAAGAAACTGAAAGAGGAGAAGCTTACCCCCAGGCTCTGAAAGATTTTATTAAGAGTATCCAGATCATGGGCCTTAATCAGGTCAGCGTTGTTGGAGTTGCTTTCAGGGAGCTTGTACAGGATAATGTTCTTAGCCCGACGTATCCGGTCATTGAATTCCTCAAAAATATGTTCAGTTGTAGATTGGTCCAGGGAGGTAGATTTCAGTTCAGAGATGACGCCTTTCAAGTCGGAGATGTCATTTTCAGCAACGGCAAGTCGAGGTTCGATGTCAGAGACCTTAGAGGAGAGGTCATTCAGTTGAGCCTTAAGATCGGAAATCCCGCTCGCTAATTTGCTAAAATCTTCTTTAGTAGGAAGCTGGGCAAAGTTGTCTAGGAGCTTATTCAATTTGGCAGATACAGTAACATCAGGATTTGCATTACAGTCAAAACGGTTACACTTCCAAACTTGTTTGTTGTTGGCAGCCAGCTTACGAGTATTATACTCAGAGGACGATAAGCCGACACAAGTACAGTGAAACCATCTGTCACATTCATCACATTCAGCTTTTTTATCAGTAGGTAAGACCTTAATAAAGCAGACCACACATATATCCTTAGGGGGATTCATAATGCAACAATCTGGAGAAAAATTATTGCACAGAACGTTTGGGTGATGTGATACACCACTATCGAACACTAGTTATAGTATTTTACTCGCAGTGCAGATATTCTAAAGGCTGTGACTGGAGGGAGACTAGCGTAGACTGGATTGAGTCCGGGTCGAACTGGATGGAGCGGACTAGCGGAATTGGACTGTCAAAACTAATGCAGTTAGTGAGGTTAAATGCATATTACTGTTGCCGCCAAAACGACAGACATGAATAAACAAAGTTATTGACAAGTTCAGATGTAGATTCGTTTAAAAATTAATGCAAATGTGTGAGTTTTTACTCGACTGATAATTGAATCATATAGCTTACGTAGATCGGCAACCTCGAAACGTCCAACAATAATCACTTTCTAGGCTTGGTAGTAGGGTAAGTACACTTATTTACACAAAAAATCGCAGCACTCAAAACAAAACTTCAAGTCAATTATAGTAGCAGACGACGTGGAATGTATTGATTATCTGCCTAACAATCAAAGCCACAATAGTGGCATTAAAGAATTGACGTCTTCATTTACCAAAGTGATTTGTCTTTCCTTGTATGATACAATTGATATGTTTTATATTATTTCATTGATGTATGAATAAATACAGTAGAACCCCTCATATCCGGCCACCACGGGACCAAGTCCCTGACCGGATAACGATTTGGCCGGATAAACCAACCTACTATGAAAATGACAATTCATACCTAATAATAATAGGTAATCAATATATGCAATCAAAAGTATCATTTAATTCTGTTCTGGGATCATTTTTAGAAAAATAAACATGTTTGTAAAAAGAAAAAAAAAATATTTGTAGGTTAAAGTCATTAAGTAATAAATGTACAAATATTATGATTCCAGGTAACAAAACCTATTAAATGGAGGTAAAAATGACAATAAATTGTACTTAAAGATCATTAGGACTTAAATGGTACATGCATTTCTTCTCAACATTCTTAACCATTTTGTGAAATACAAAAATTAATGTACTCGTACTGTACTGTACTAACCCCACTTTGGAAATAATCAACCAACTGATAAGAGGTTAGGCCTACTAGCTTAGCTGAGTATAGTGACTCAGCAAATAAACAAACAGATAAATAATGAGAACAATTTATTTTATGACTTGAGCAGTCACAAAGACTAGTGTTTGCATCTAAACGTCTGTAAGCTGAGAGAAAAAATTTTGATATTGGCTTCCTGGAAGGGGCCGGATAAACAGAGGGCCGGTAAAACCAAGGCCGGATATGAGGGGTTCTACTGTAGTAATATTTGGTAGAAGACCTAGATATTTTGAGTAAATATTTTATCATTGTGTTAAATAGTTTAATTTATTTACTAGGTTAAAATCATCTAGGATCAGCAGTGGCAATTTAAGGCACCTAATTATACAAAATTTGTATTGAACTAAATGCTGAATCAAGCAAACCATTGACTGTAAAGAAGTATAATAAGCATATGGAGAAGTGTGTAATAATATCAATAAGTGTAATAAGTATAATACATTACACTCGCCTTATGGAGAAGTGTGTGGGATATCAAGCTGTACGGAACAACACAAGCTCCAATCAATAGTGCTGTGCCTGTGCAAGTACTAAAACCTTTGGGAGCTGTTTCTCTTTAGGGTAAAAATATTAGGAATTTAAAAAGATCTTCTACAAATAAATCATTTCAGTATTTTTTAGAGTCCTCAAGTGCTTAAACCGGCCTAATTGTTTAGGAGAAGTGTCTACTAAAAATTAGTTCATGCCATGAAAATGACTGGTATTCGCCCCTTGCCGCTTGAATTACCTTGTTCACATATACTAATGCAGGACTGGCGTCATTCTAGTATATAATCAATGGCAAAGCCCTCATCCTATTTGAGCCTCACTTTACAATAAGTTTCTAATTTTTGTGTTGTGTTTTACAGATGGCCGACTCAACCTCTCAAGACCAAGCCCAGCCGAGGGGGTTTGAACTGTTGAAACAACACACGCTAGCACACAAGATAGATGTCGCACTCTGGACAACTAGACTGCTCGCTGTGTTCTTCACTTTCGCATACTTCATCCCTATATTTGGGTGAGTTGATGTTTGCAATGTTTTTAAATGCTGACGTTAGTCAAGTTTGTAGTTATTGGATGGATTCATCTAGGCTAGTGTTGAATATTTAGGGGAGTGGAAATTAAACCGTATTTATAGATTCTTTAAAAACTATATTTGTTTCTTTGTATCATTCGCCTAATGGTAGACCTTTGGAGTTTTTAAGGATTTTGGATGTTTTTTTACCTTTTATAACTCAGTGGAACAACTATAATATTGTCATCGGTGGTGATTTCAACCACAATTTTGATGTTACTAAAAGCAAAAGAAATGTAAAAAACTTGTTAAATCTATTTAAACAGTACAACTTTTATCATTTAAATAATTCACCAACTAGAGGCACAAACTGTCTAGATAATGTGTTTGTAAACCAAAAATCTGCTAGGCTCTCTTTTTTAAGTTTGTTCAAATTTCCTTTTTCGGACCATGATGGAATTATCGTTAATATGCAGAATGAACCATTAGTTATAGATAATACATCTCATTTAGTCTCAAAAGATCCCATTCAGTTTTATCTACCTATTAAAAGTCATGTACATCTGTCTCTAAAATTGTCTACTTATGATTGGCTATCTTTAATGTCCAAGTCTGAGAGTAGTAGTGCTAATATGCAGTTCCAATGTTTATTTAATATACTAATCAACAATCTATCTATATATTAATAGGCAAGCATGTTTCTTTAAAACCTTTTTTCTCAGCTCGTGTGAATCGTAGGGAAAATCTACGCATACCGTTAGAAAGATATTTTCCTGTAGGTGTGCAGAATCCCTTTATAAATTAAAATAGGCTCAAAGATAAGCACAAAAAATTAGTTTAAAATTTTGAAAAAATTAACATGGATTTTATGGGTTGCTATGCTGGTTACGAAATAACAACGGAATATAAACAGAAAATCAAAACAAATGGAAGAAACTCAAATCACATGTTTTATTTACAGTGTGGGGAGAAAATAGAGAAGTCTGTACATTACATATTTTTGGTCGAGTTTCGACCACTGGACGACCTCTCGTATTAATTATTTAATGGTCCCAAATAAAAATAAAGGTAAACTATTCAAACCTAAGTATTTGAACAAACTGAACAAGGGATGGTATACTAAAGAATTGGGTCAAATGAAAGAAAGGCTATTGTGTTTGTATAGTTTGCTTAAAGATACTGGAAATGTGAACAATACTGAACTAAGGTATAAATATTTAAAACTGAAATGTCAATATAAAAACTCTTTAAATGAAGCAAAGCTAGAAAACAATGCTAAATACATAGAAGAAAGTAATAACAGATGTAAAGCCGCATGGGAGGTAATAAAGAATAACTGTGAAATAAAAAACACAGCTGATTTGCAAATTGAGCCAAATACTTTCAATAGGTTTTTTGTTGACAGTGTAGACAAGATCAAACAAATCATTAAAATTCCAGGTATAATCACTTCTTGTAATGATTTTTTGAAAAAATATGAAATTGATAGTTGTAATAAATTTTGTTGGTCAGCCATCACACCTAGTGATATTCTTAGTGCCACTAAAAGGATGAAAAGATCAGCTAGTGTGGATGTGTACAATATGTCAAACAATCTGTTAAAAGTAATTATTGACTGTTTGGCTAACCCCTTGGCAATATGCATAAATAACCTTTTATCAGAAGGGGTTTTTCCTGACTTGCTCAAAGTCTCTCGAGTCTGTCCTATTTACAAAAAAGGTCCTAAAGACCAACCTCAGAGCTACAGACCAGTTTCAATTATACCTGTATTGGGAAAACTAATAGAAATACTTATTTACGATCAAATCAGAAATTATTTTGAAAAAAACAACATCTTGAACAACAACCAATACGGTTTTAGAAAGGGAAAATCCACTATCAATGCATTGGACGATCTAGTCAGGCAAGTTCATCTCTCTTTCGAAAATAAAACTTATGCTCAGGCCACCTTCTGTGACCTCAGTAAAGCTTTTGACTCTGTTGACAGTAATATTCTCATCTCTAAATTACAGTACTATGGATTTGATGGCCCTCCATTATCTTTTTTAAGAAGCTACTTGCAAAATCGGAAACAAGCAGTTTGTATAAAAGGAAGATGGTCAGATGAAGTGTCAGTCGAGTGGGGAGTGCCACAGGGTTCAGTCCTTGGTCCCCTTCTTTTCTTAATCTATATAAATGATCTACCCTCTTCTGTTGATTGTAAAACCATTCTGTACGCAGATGACTCTACCTTTTTATCTACTAGTAAAAACTATAAAGAACTTGAAAAATTGGCTGATGAAACATTAAATAATGCACAAAATTGGTTTCATAGTAATGGACTTTTGCTTAACAAAGAAAAATCACAAAAATTGACATTTTCCTTAAATTATAATTCAAGAGAGTTGTTTGAGAACAGTGATAAGGGTAGTAAAGTTTTTTCAGCAAAGTTTTTGGGAATATATGTAGATAGTCAGCTAACATGGGATTCTCATATAGACTATTTAAATACCAGACTTTCTCGTGTAATATTTTTACTAGGTCGTCTGAAAAAATGCATTCCATTAAATTATGTCCGAACAGCATATTTTTCATATTTTCAATCCATTTTCAGGTATGGGCTAATTTTTTGGGGCAATTGTGCTAGGGTAGAGGAAATTCTTGTTTGGCAAAAGAAAGCGGTTAGAGTTATCTCTAATAAAGGCTCAAGAGACCACAGCAAACCACTTTTTAGAAATCTTCAAATCCCTACTATTATTAACGTTTATATTTATGACTTAATAGTTTATATCTTGGAAAATCAACATCTTTTAAAATTTAGAAACCATACTCATGATCATAATACCAGAAATAAGAACCATACCACAATAGAATTCCATCGTTTAAGTAAAACTCTAAATAGTCACATAGTTTTATCACTTAAAGTGTACAACTTTCTTGAATCCATAATTAAATTACACAATATAAAGGATTTCAAAAGTAAATTTTATTGTTGGCTGACCAATAACCCATTTTATAGTTTGGAAGATTTTTTTAAGAATAAGATTCTTCAGTTGTAATTATTCATTTAGAATATGTATTATAATATGTCTCCCTTTGTTAAGTTAGCTATAAGTATTTTATTAATTAATTACCTGACTATGCTATAATTTTAGCTGTATCTTGACATTGTCGATGATTTGTACAAATTCAAAAGACAATAAAGCATATTTCATTTCATTTCAAACAGTAGTATCACAAAATCTGCTTAATGTTGACTGCTTAGTGACGAGTTAGATAAATACTGGTTTATCCAATCGTGCATTTAGACACAATTCAGAGAATTGCCTCTTTTCTATTTCTCTTACATATATATTTATTTACAAAATTTTCTCCATTATAACATTGAAATAGGGTACATTACCTTAACTTGTTGAAGAAAATATTTAGTTTTTGAGCGATTAAGCTCTAAATTTTTGTTTTATATCATCTTTACTGTCCTATATTAACATATCATTGTGTAGATAATGTTTTAACTGAAAATAATGTTTTATCCTTTTCAGAATTTCCAATAGGTATTTCTCTCTCTCTCAGCCATAAATGTTTTGTTTGAAATTCACTTAAATCACATCTGCCATCTGTATGTTTATAAAATTAAGCTATTTGCTATTTCAAATCACCAGTGCTGTACAGCAAACTTGTTTCACATAAAATTAAATTGGCTCTAAAAGCGGAAGGGCAGAAGTAGACCTGGAACTCAAAGTCATGAACACTGATACCTGTTTTCAAGGTCACAACAGGACCTGTCTAATACAGGCCAAGGTTGCCTTCACATGCTGACTGTCACCCATGACAATTATGATAAACACTACTTATTACCAAACTATCCTCATTTCATCCTTAAGATGCTATATGATTGATGTTCAATTGTGGACTATAGTAAAATACTTATGATTTTAAAATTTTATTTGGGAATCTTTTAATACATATATAAATCTCAAATTACCCATGAACTTTTGAGAAAACTACAAGTCACTCCACATAAACCATAAACTTAAAATGTTTGTCATGACGAGAAACTTTGTGCAAAACTATCCATTATTTCATAAATTGCCCATTAAGGTCGTAATTACTTTCTAAAGGGAACTTTCGATATATCTAATGTTAAAAATACCTCAGCTGTACTTATTTGTTTGTTATTCTTTCAATTTATAACCTTATTGAATTCAGGTGTGATTATTTGTTTGTATTGCACATGGTATTACTGTATTCTGTTTTGTTTATTTCAGCTTATCTTAACCAATCAATAGTTTTATTAATACTTATGAAGTCAAACGGGGTGAAGCCTGTGGGTAACAGCTAAAAAAAATGCAATTTGATATTGTAACCATACAAGTTCAACCTGTTTTTGGAAGAGTTAATAATTTTAAAACCTGTCAAATAAAAAAAATAGGCTAGTTTTTTTGTGTAAAAACATGTATAGGCTATATAAATGTTCTTAAGTATGTATCTTGAACTACTCTTATTTTAAAACAATTTTTAAATCTTAAAAACTATGTAGTTAACAGTAGGTAGCCTATACTGTCAAATTAAGGTGTTTGAGTGGTAAATTTTGATTACATATAAAAACAAACACTTTCATATCTTTATTGCAAAATATTCTGGTCAATTTGGTTGATAGTAACAAAAAGATTAGAAACAGATTCTACACCAGGATTATGCCCGATTCCTGTTGTCACATATTTCCCATTTTGTTTGATGCAGTGCTTGATTTGTAAAAAATGAGCTGGCGGAACTGTAACCTATTTAATGTGATTAGGCCTATTTGTATTTCTTTCTTTTTGAAAGAGAGGGGTATCGGAACTCCGATCCCCCGCAATACGAGCACTAGTTTGATGCACAGACAGTCCAGTTTTCAAGAAGGCCTATTCATGTGACTTCCCAACACACTCGGTTATATTCCTGGCATCCAACATTGACAAAATTACTTGAAAGAAGGCTACATTCATTAATGGACACAAATGATAGTAGGTCTACAATCTATATATTCTGTCACAGCTATGACTCATCCTTGTATTGGATGACCCGGGTTTAGGCTTCTATCAAGCAATAGTAATATTCTTCAGGACCTTAAAAATTCATCTTGCACACTGCCATTGACTGGGACACAAGGTTTCCGATTGACAAAATATTATTAGCAAATCTATGCTTGTTTGTTATATTGTGTTCAATGTTTTTCATGCTGTGTGTTTTCAGCAACCCGTACAATGCGTACTACAAGGTGCTGATGGCCAATGCTGCCACCAGTGCGTTGAGGCTACATCAGAGATTGCCGGGCGTCTCGTTTGACAGAGAGTTCTTGTCTCGTCTGCTGCTAGAGGACAGTTGTCATTACTTGTTCTACTCGCTTATCTTCCTCTACGTCGCACCTGTCACATGTATCCTTTATTGTGTTTGAAAGTTAGCTTAGGTTTACGTGCTATAGAAAATAGTACCCTTCCTTATAGTGTTCTGATTGTAATAAAACAATTGCGTTTTAAGGCAAAGATGAGTGTTAAATGAAACAGATGATTACTTTGTTACTGACTATGATCAGCTGGTTATATAGCCAGCACCATTTGCCCAATTACTTATCTTTGATCCAAATAGGTAACCTTCTGATAACCAGGTGAGAGCAGGCAAGCATGTTTCTTTATAAAACCTTTCTTTTCAGCTCGTGTACGTCGCAGGGAAAATTACACCTGTGCAGAGTCCTTTTATAAGTACAAAAAAGGAATTTCAAATTTTAAAAAATTTACATGGGCCTTATGGGTTGCCATGCTGGTGACTAAATTACAACAAAATATAAACAAATAGAAGACATTTATAATGTGCCGATTTTGAGGAGGGGTCGACATCTGTGTGATGAACCAGATGTTCGAGATGTCCGACGCGGTAAACCTCAGCCAAGGTGACGGCACAGTTGAGTGTGAAATGAACATCTTGACGCGAACCCTGGAAGGCCAACCCAAATCTCCGTACTGAGGCCTATCCGGAAACTAAATGTGCTGTATAGCATGTGGTACTTCAACCTGGCATGTAAGCTAGTGTTATATGTTTCAGTTTGGAAAAAGTACTGCACACATTCCAAACACATGTTTTATTAGGAGATGGCCTATATTTTTGTTTTTAGCTAGTTACATAAGATACCATCTTTGTTATTTCCAATAAGTAGAACAAAATTGTTTTCCTCAACTGAGGTTTAGTCGCACTTCTGCCAGTGTTTCTGTTCTCTATCATCCATTTCTCCAGCTACTCCCTCACTCTGCTGGATGTAAGTATACAACCTTGCGTGATGTGCTAAATCTTAACTCTAATGTGATAATAATTTTACTACCTGTTTTCTTGAGTACCAAACTCAGTAATCCTCAGTAACTGTGTAATCCTGTTTGTTCCTGTCATGTTTGGTCAATCTTCTTAGGTGTAAGGTATGTCTAAGTCACATTAATGCCCGAGACTACAGATTTGACCAAAAACATACATAAGAAAATATACAAGAAAATTTAAGAAAATTTAAATTTAAAGTTTAATAGTTTGTCTTCAATTTAATAATTTGAATTAAAAATAATTTTCAAGTCGTTAGAACATCTTTGACCTGATGAACCCGCTGACTGAATCAATTCATGGATTTAACATTTCGCCGCCATCACGAAAAACAATGACGATGTTTCTGTGACCACTTGAGACAATGACATGTCAACACGATCGCGAGAGAGGTTTTGGATTTTACTTCGATCACAGATTCTGCCTTCTTTAATGTCGATTCTTATTACTGTGGTTTTAAGTCTTTTAAATTATTTCCACGATTCAGATGTTTGGAGTTAGGATAATTGGAGTTCTACTGTACTGTATAAGGCTTGTTTATAGGTAACCATTTATATCTATCTATTGTATAACTTCATGTGTGAATGGTTTACAGTTGCTGGGACACAACTCATGGTGGGGAGCTCGACTGCTCATCTCATTGGTGGAGTTCCAGTCGAGGAACATTCTGCGGTTGATTGCTTTCTCAGAAATCTTCTTGATGCCATACACTGTCATCCTGATCTTCATGTAAGTATACACGTCTCTGGTAACATTCCACACATGTTGAGCCTCCTCTTATTGAACTCAGATTTCATCGTCATTCAACAATACAGTGCAGTTGTTTCTTGATATTTCGACTTTTTTTATCTATCATACTTGGTAGTCCATCGGCAGAAGGTACACCGAAATGGTACCTTCATTGTTATAGATAACAATGGGACAATCTTTAATGTTTATAGCCAACTAAATCTAGTCAATTTAACACGTTCACTGCTGAAAATCTTTAAACAGGCGCTCCTAAACTGCGGCAAGGCCCGGGCGGAGTCCCGGCATGCTAACTGAATCAGCAATCGCTATTGGCATTGAAATATCTCAGCAAGACGAATCACAAAAGAGCAGTGGTGATTGTTCTGCGTTACCTCGAAAGTAGACGTAGTTCACTAAAACACCCAAAGGTAGCAGTACTGCCTGGATCAATAACAAGAGTCTTTGTAATATAGCTCGAATAGAGAAAATCCCCGAAAACGAGACAAAAGCATTGCCAGATGGGATTTTACGGGAATGTTTAGTACCAAACTACACCAAAATAAAGTTTGCATTCTACGCTACAGGCTGGTAACAATTACAACGTTCCCCGGCATTGGCTGAGCTCACATTGGAGCAAAGTTGTTGGCATCGGTGAAGGACGTGATTTCCCGCAGTGGCGCCGGTACCGCAGGGCGACAATTCCCGCCCCTCGCACTGAACGTGTTAAAAATGTCTATTCACCATGTACCTCATATGTAATATTTTACATGTACTGTAGCCTATCTTAATAATTTGACAAGGTCTATTTCTGTATTTCATGTTCAATGACAAAATAAAGAATCTTGAATTGTATAAATACATGTACTGTTTATGTGTGTTATGTGTGTTATTTACTTAATTCTAATTACAAACTCATCGAGTTTTATAATGTCCCAAATCTATATAAGAGTTATTAATACTATATGGGAAATTATAAATATATTTATAACTTTGAAGGCTGCATCAAATCTTTATTAAAATATGAAAACTTTTCAAACTTAATCTTTGTATGGAGAACACGAATAGATACAAAAAATCCCTTTGGTTTAATCACAAGTTTGGATAGCCCAACTTAAAGTAAAACCTTTGACTAGTCAATGGTAAAACTTAGACAACGCTCAAAATAATCAATTTATTATCATATAAAAAGGGTAGGATGCAGGTTAATTTTATTTTAAAAACATTTAACAGGAATTACTTTGCTTGAAGATTACTATTGAAGAAACCATTTACCGTAACGTAAACTCTATGTCCAGGGGCCGAGCTGGGTTGTTAACTCCGTTCGTCTACTACCACTTCCTCACCCAGAGGTACAACTCGCAGCGTAACCCGTACACTCGCAACATGTTCCACGAGCTGCGTATGACTGTGGAGGGGTTGGCTCAGAAGCCTAGCACACCCGGAGTGTTACGCAACGCTCTTCTCTCATTGGTGGCCTTCACGTGTAGGTTGGCTCCGCCCACCCGTCCTGCACCCGCACAGTAAACATTTACCAACAAGTACAAGACAACTGACATTGGCAGTTGATTGCAACAGATTCTGCAGAACAGTATATTGTTTTATCCGTCATTTTTTATCGTTACTGTAAACTTGTACTGTACGACTAAAACAATGTTAAGCATTTAAGAATTATAGAGTATGATTGTTCTCCATCTTGTTTTATACACTTTAATGGTTGTTGTGTTCTAGATAATGTTTGAATCCCTAGCTTTCTGCTCTGTTAAACAGATCCAATGGGATAGCGAGTTATTTTTTGACAAATATTTTAAAGCTAACTCATCAACAAAATTGACATATTTCTCATTGATTATAATTTTTCAAAATATGAAAGCATGTATGAAAGTTTGTGATCGAAAAATGTATTAATATTTTATTGTTCTGTCATATCCATCGACCATTGTTATCAGTAATTATTACTTAAGAAAATGACATATATATTTATGATTAGTTATAATTTTATGAAGGAGTTGGGATTATTGTAGTTTAATTTGTTGTTGTTGTAAGTTTTACTTTAATTTACTAATTTTAAGCACTCCTTTGTTCCGTAGGTTGTTTGTAAATTTGTAACCTCATACAATCCACTAAACCGCCAACACTAGACAAAGTTTTGTTTACAAAATATTTTCTAGGTGCAAGTTTTAAGAATTGTGGCTTAGTTATTGATTTTTGGCAATGTGTTAAAATATTAATTGGATGATTTTGTGCAATTTGTATTGTTGGTGTTATGACAAATTAGTTCTGGTGTTTGTGTAATCAAGTATTGTAAGAAATGTTTTTGTAGTCCAATGTGTTCACTTATTATTTACTTTTTATGTTTAAAGTGTTGAAACTTGTTTAACTCGTTAATAATCCTTTTACGTATCTTTGTACAAAATTAACAACGTGTTTTGTGTGCCAATCACTCACAGTACACTCACGCCCAAAGTATTTTTGTATTCACATTCCGTGGGCTCATACAGGACTGCTCTCTTCATCACCGATCTGTGTGTAAATATATATTGGGAATAATACTCTTCATACCTTTCCCTAATTTTTTATTGTGTTTGTGGAGTATAAATGATAAATAAAACCCTGAATTGTTTAAACAAGTTATTGGTTTTTTTTAAATATCCCGTTGTTTAATTTTTATTGTAAATGAGTTGGCAAGTTTATTCACATTTATTTTGTTTTCATTTCCTATTACAGTATAAAAACAAAAATTTGAATTCATAAAGTTTTTGATAGATGTACAACTGGATATTACGTGGATATAAATATGGATATTTACGTATGGATAGGTAAATAAGCATTAAATAATGCACACTGATAGCTTTGACTATTAATAAAACAATAATATCCAATAGTCAATGCTGATAGTCAACACAACTACAACTTTACGGTTATGGTTATGTGAAGAAATAATATGAGAAATCAGCAAAAATAATAATAAATAGTTGCTAGGCAGCAGTGACAATAAAACAATTCTATTGCAATGCTATGGATACTGATTGTGTATATTAATATGCATTCATGTTTTAAGAAAGTAAGCACTAGCGTCTAGATACTCAGAGCAACGAGTCGGCTCACCGGAGCAACAGTCAGGGCTGCACAATTTTTATTTCAGCTGCAGTTTTTTAATACGGGCAAAATGAGAGTTTAAAATTAGAAATAAAAAAATATTATAAAACTAAAAAAATATAAAATTAATTTTTTAATTATAAAATGAAACTGTCATAACCTAACCTAACTAACCAAACTTGCTGATAATGAAAAAATTGAATGAAGGTTTACTAATCGAAAAAATAGTTCTGTTCATAAAATAAAACTATAAATGCCTCAAATTCAATTTTATAAGGTTTTAATTATAAAATTAAACTGTCATAACCTAACAAAACTAACCAAACTTGCTGATAATGCAATAATCTTAGACAAAAAGTTTGTGCCATCGATGGGACTCGAACCTGGTACCATCAGATTCTCAGCCCGGCACGCTATCCATTTGACCACCGAGGCCGATGGCTCCAAACCGTATCGTTGCGGTAATAGTGTTCCCTCAGCCAATAGAATGCTCTCATTTTGTCTTGCTCCGGTGAGCCGACTCGTTGCTCTGAGTATCTAGACGCTATAGAAAGTAAGCGGGCAGCTGATTTTGCAGCCCAAGGGATGTAAAAACTGCTCGGTCCCCAAATGACAATAACAGCTGGCATGGCCAGTAAAACTTAACTTTCAGCCACCAATTAACGTATGTCAAACAGCTAAAAACATCATAGTATGTGGTGAAAAGACCATTCCAAACTAACTGGAACCGAACCCTTTGCAGATAAGCGGTAATCAGGAATAACCAGAATTCTTTAATAATAAAATTTTATCGATGTTGAAATTGTCACAATCGCCGTTGATGTTTGTGTAGCTGCGATCGCAAAAGATGTTTGGCGTTATAACTGTGATTACGAGAGATGATGATGATGTAGTAAATGTGAGAGATTATAACATCATTGTCGTAATCACAAAGGACGATGACAATATTGCTGCAACGTATTGAAAGCTTCACTTTCACTATTCATTTTGCCGACATTCGTGGTTGTACTACCTTCACTGACATTTGTGGTATGGTTACCAGATTATACCACAGAAACATTGTACATTTTTCCTACATTTGTGGTAGTGATGTGTCGGTTCCATTTTTTTACGGTTAGGTTCTTGGCCAAATCTGTGGTATTGTTAAATTCACAACTGTTCTTGGGGATGTTGCTAGCTTTGTCAAAATTTCCAACATCATCTAGATTTAATGTAACAGCACTTCTACATCAGGCAAAGTTTATAGCGTAATTTAACACTAGACCTTACACCAAGACTTCATTAAAACCCTCAATTCGGTGCTGCCGTGTGGAACTGTTCAACTGCTGAGTAGACCTAAGAGTCCCTCCAACAATTATTTATTATTTTATGGTTGTCTCATCTATCTGGAGAAATTTGTTAACCAAGAAAAGACTGGTGTATTATTCACTAACAACTTCTGGTACTTCTTGTTTCTCATGGAGGATTCTTTCAAATTTTTTACATAAAAGATTTTATAAATTTGTCTAGACCTTCGAAATGAAAATACTTTGTCACCAATTGTCCATGTCGGTGCAATAACACATACCTCATGCATGCATGCAAAGTATGATTTATATAAAATATACAAAAGTATATTTTGGAATTCTTAAGTATGGATAATTTATATTTCATAAAATTCCTGGGAATCAGTATTAAGGCTATCAGACCAGAAAAAGTGATTTGGATGTAAAAGGAGTTTGGAAGATGGGTTATTGTAGAAGCTACTTAATAAAAACTCTTGACATATAAAATATTAATGAAATATATTTGTTATCTATTCAAAGTATAAATCCTGTGCAAGGCTTGTTATGTTAAAAAAATATATTCAATGAATTTAATAAGTTATTTATGTTTTACGTCTTTTAAAGACACAATCACAAATCCCAACATTAAGGGAGGACTAGATTACAACAAAACATTGTGATTCACACAAACTAATACATTCAAATAATCCTTATATTAAAGAAGTAATATTATGGATACTTTTATAATACAAATAGAAATAATAAATATTTTGTGCAGCTAAGGGGACAAACAAATCTTATAATTTATTTTTTATTCACTTGAATCAAAACATTTTAAAGTTTTTTAACTTTGCTTAATACGTTTTGTATAAAATTATTCTACATTACATGTACTATATTTCTAGTTAACCAAATTTACAAAGGAGATAAAAATAGTATAAAGTGACTTTTTGACACAAGCTCTAGTTTTCCGAGGTGATGTACAGGTCAGAAAATGAGCAAGAGTTGAAAATTCCATTTTGGCCTATGTGAAAAACTACATTTTTCAGACTGTACCATTATCTAAGCTAACTATAGACCATTCACAAAAATTAAGCCGGTTTAAGGAGGGAAGGTTCCTGGGGTTCCCCACCACTTTTTTAGCTTAATGTATGTATCAGCTGTCGGCTGTTATTTCAATCTTAGGGTGAGGTGGAGGGGATGAAATTGCTTTCCCTCAAACCACATAAATTTTGTGAATGAGTTTAATTGACAAAACTTACATGTTGTAGTTGTACATTGTTTACATTTATAAATTGACTTACAAAATGGTTAACTTCTTGCTTTGCAATAAGATCATTAGTCTTTTTGGGGAATTGTTAGTATAAAATGATGATCCAAGTACAATCAAATTAAAATATTGCACACTTGCTTCATTACATACTCAATAGTTAAAAGAAAATTTAAATCCACTTTACTCAGGATCAGGATTTATGTTGTTACTAAACAATACTTGTAGCTAACGTAAAAACTAAATAATAATAACAAAACTTGTTCCTATAAGCCCTTTTCTAAAAATAGCAAACTTAACTTAAAATGACAGTTCAACTTTTTAGCTACACACCGTTGTGTAGATTATTTTACGTATTACCGTACATAATTGTAATAGAGTGCACATGTAATCTCTAAAAGTAACACATTTGACAATCAATATTGTAATCAATATTGTAAATAACACTAGAGTTATACCATTTTTAACTGCCCTTCCCACATAATTTTCCATAAATTAATTTACTATCCGAGGTAAAATAATTAGACAACAAAAATAATATTCAAACTAATTGCAAAAGTGGAGGTTCAGATTTTAAATTATTTGGATAATCAAAACAAAATAAAATGCTTAAATAATAATAAAAATATAATAAATGATTAACAAATTAATAAAAAAAAAATTCTAGACAAAGAAATTTAAATACACGGTTAGACAAAATTAGCTTCAGAAAAAAATTTGACATTGTTCTCGCTAGAGAACTTGCATTCAAGAATCTTTCCGTCTTAAAATGTTATTTGGTTAGGATAGGAATAAAATGTAACATACACCTAGTAATTAATTATAAAATAAATGCTATAGCTTATCTAAATAAGTTATCAATAGATTAAAAAACTGAGTGGTTCACTGCCAGTCTTCTTCATACTATTAAAAACAAAAAAATAAACATGACAGTTCAAAATATTATTTCGTAAAAATAGTCATAGCTGCAAAAAGAATCATCATGCTCCTTTATCTTGATTTCTGGATGTAATATTATTATTAAGTGGTTAAATTTATTTGATCTCTGGTAATTGATCACCACCAGCATTTTTGTCGAGTAATTGAAAGCTGGACAAGAGTAATAAAATGTTATTTTCATAGTAGAACTCTTGATTTTCAGAATTAGTTTGAAATTGGCCTCATTAATATGTAGGTATCTATGAATTGTGTCTAGCAAACTATATTAAACTCTGGAATTATAGACAGCTAATTTTCAATATAACTTTGCATGTACATCTTTATCCTAGACTTAATTTCTTGTTTATTCAAGTAGCAGACATTGGTTGATGTTTTTTTCTTACGTTGAATACAAGTGTCCGTCACTATATAAAAATTGATAGATTGGCAGGGTTTCATTTCACAGGTTAGGTAATTTTATAAGAATGCTTAACTTATTAGTCGAGAGTTCTACTATGAATTTGTTAAGCTGAAGTTAGTAAAACTTAAATTAATTAGTATTAAGTATCTGAAACTACTTGTTCGGGATGAGATTCAAGAATCTCTGTGTAGTATTCACCAAAGACCTTGCGGTTGTGTGACACAAGGCGATGAAACCTCGCAGCCAAAGCAGAGATCTCTTTGGTGAAAGTTGTCAACCCTGCGGGGATCTGCAACTGCGTAGGCACAACCGATGTGATCATCTTGTGTAGGAACTCTTTGATCCTGGAAACTATCAACAACTTGTGTCAGATAAATTTAAACGGTTGTATCCAACTTGCAATCAGTCCTATTTGCGATCACCCCAAAAATTTAATGAGGTACCTGAATAATATTTTTTTAATTTGGCAATCATATATTTGAAATCGTATCCCTAGAACAAGTAAACCAGATGTATAATGCATTACAAGCGAGCCAGGTAGACAAAGTACAGGTATGGACTAAGAAACCTTGTATGTACCCTAACCTAACCAAGCCTAGGAATAAGTAATGGAGAGCAGAACTTCGGGCCCTGAGGTCCCTGGTTCAAATCCCGCCAGTCACCAATGGATTTGGACCATTCCCTGTCAAAAAACATAAAAAATTCAATGGTGGTGGGAAACCAACCTTAAATCTGTAACAACCTTGGAAATTATTACAAAATGACAAACCCCAATTTCTTGATGCATTAAAATTAGGGGTGTGCGAATAGTGATTTTCAACCTCGAGCCGAGCCGAGCCGAGCTTTTTAAAAAATATTCGAGCTCGAGCTTTTTCGAGCCGAGCTTTTCCTAGCGTCACCTTATCTAAATTAACTTTTTGTTTTAAGAAAGTGCATAATAATAATAATGTTCAGTCAATTTTTAAATAAACACAATGTTATTTTAATATGTTTAAAAACATTGAGAATTGTCAAGACATCAAATAGTAGATAATCTAGATAAGAACTGAACTGAACTAAATTAAGATGCAAGAAATAAAAGGATATCGATTGAAGGCCTGACGAGATATGCAGTGCAGACTGAGACAATCAGATTGTCTTTCATAACAGAACAGCAACGCGACCTTGAATGACCGACAAAACAACTAGCAAGTCGATTACATATGTATATTGTAACTACTATGAATATTTAATTCTATTTTGTTAAATAAATAGAAAATAAATTTAAAAACACGTGATTATTCTTGTTGTTTTCCATGCACAAAATATTTTTGTTTTATGAATCGTATTAATAAAAAAAGAACAAAGTTGGTTTGGATCCAAAAAGGTGGAGAGACAAGTAAAAAGTAAACTTATATATTAAAAAAAATATAATTGACATATAGAGGAAATAGACCAAAACACTAAAATTAATAGAATAACACACAAAGTAAACAAGAAATGAAATAAAGAACACGATGATTTAACACTGTCACTCAATTTTGTTATCTAGAAGGGTCGGCGAACTAATCAATAAATAGCCAAAACCAGTTTCCTCCCCTTCACACAGTCTCACCGCCCCCCTCCTCCCCTTAAGCCGGGAGGCCCAACACTTTGTCCTTGAAACACCCTTGCGTCTGAAACAATAAACCCTTACACCCTCGCTGCTGTTTTGACAACAGGTTTATGAATGTGATCACTATTTTTCATTTTCCAGAATTAACTATAAATTATTATTATTTGCAAGTTACAAATAGGAAACTACATCACATTATGGTATTCCAATGACCCATGTATTATCAAAAATTAATAATTCATTACCTATTTTGATAATAAAAAGCATTCATTACAGCACGCACCACTTATTGATATATATATATAATCATCAAAGTAACTGTTACTTTATACAAAATAAAATAGGTACAAATTTGTGTGGCCAGTCAAACTTTATAAACAAACATTTTATTCTATAAAATACAGATGGTAAATAGGGGTTGGTTTAAAGGAAATAAAATACAAAACAGATTAATTCATTATTTTGATAAACATTAGAAAGGTGTTTTACCCCGGAAAACATATGTTTAAGTACTTTAATCTTACTAACTTAAATTAACGAACTCGAACTAATAGATCAGAACAGATTAACCCGTCTAGTCGTACCTGGATCTCAGCTCGAACTGAAGCCTCGTCTTGCTCTCGTAGGGGAGGGGGCTTATCTCCAAACCCAGGTTCCAAAGGTCACTAATTGTCCTTCTACTCTACATTGTTCAAATAATAACTTAGGCTAATTCTCTTCTTATTTACAACATCTCCTCCCAACCAAATAAAATTCCTTTTTAAACTATGTACACAAAAATTGGGGGAGATATATCTTCTTGCGTCTTCTTACATCTCCAATCTCCGAGGCGCTCTAATGGTCCTGTTAGAGCGACGGAGTGTGGCTGGGCTTCCTTGATTTGTGCCGTTGGGCGATACTATTGGTTTTGCCATAGGTGATGTGCGGGTTCCTTGATTTGGTGATTTTGGTTTCGCTGGTGACCCTTGCTGTTTGGCTGGCGATATTCGATGTTCCGCCGGGCTCTGGTAAAGTTCTCTCGGAAATTGTACCAAGATATCACTATCGCTGTCACCATCTTCCCCCTCCGAAAGATTTACCCTCAGATGGTCTGCATGAACAAATCTACTTCGGTTGTCGACTTTGACCAAATATGTTACTGGACTTATTACTTTGGTGATAACGCCAGGCTGCCAATTGATCTTCTCGTTACGTACTGTTTTTACGTAAACCTTGTCTTGAAGTGTGAATGTTCGTTGCTTTCCACGATGAGCATTGGCACTCTTGACAATACTTTCTTGCTTGTTAAGCATTTGGTCTGCTAAATGAGGTTTCAGCAAGCTAAGTTGAGTTCTGGGCTTGAATTTAAACACAGCCTCTGAAGGGGTCACATTGGTTATGGTGTGTGGGGTATTCCTGTATGAGAACAAAAATGAGTCTATTCGATGCTGAAGCGACCGGGATTGGTTGTATTTCGCATCATGCAGCAATTGCCTGTGAAGAGCATGTTTCACTGTCTGGACTGCTCTCTCGGCGAGTCCATTTGAGGCTGGGTGATAAGGCGGAGACAAGACATGATGGATTCCATTAGAACTTAAAAATTCATTAAATTCTTGGGATGTAAATTGGGGACCACCATCAGTTACAATAGTAGTTGGTAAGCCAAACGTTGCAAAACAATGCCTCAGTTTTTCTATGGTTTGCCTAGCTGTTGTAGTTGGCATGTAAAAGACTTCAATCCATTTGGAGTGACCATCAACCAAGATTAGGAACTCCTTTCCTTCGAATGAGGCAAAGTCGAGATGTAGTCTCTGCCAGTTGTGTTTGGGCCACGCCCAGGGTTGTAGTGGGGCCAGAGGAGCAGACTTGCGAGTGCTTTGACAAACTGAACAACTCTTGACCATGTTCTCGATCTCCGAGTCCATTCCAGGCCAGAAAACAAAGCTACGGGCTAAAGATTTCATCCTAGACTCTCCCGGGTGCTCAGAGTGAAGTAAAATCAAGATTTCTTTACGATGGGTGGGTGGTATCACCACTCTGCTTCCCCACAATAGGCAACCTTTTTCCACAGACAGCTGAGAACTTTTATTGGCGTATGGCTTTACGGTTTCATCATTTACTAAATTAGGCCAACCGTTAGAAGTAAAATCCAATACTTTCGACAAAACTGGGTCAAATTTAGTTGCTGTTGCAATTTCTTTGGAAGTGATTGGTAGTCGGTATGAAGCTGAAAAGAATGAAATTTCACCTTCCTCCTCAGATGTCTCACATGGCAGCCGCGACAGTGCATCGGCATTCGAAATTTCTTCCCCTCTTTTGTAGCGAATATTGTAGTCGTAAGCCGCAAGTGTTAGAGCCCATCGTTGTATCCGTGCTGCAGCCAGAGTCGGTATCCCTTTTGTTGGACCTAAGAGAAAAGTGAGTGGCCTATGATCAGTCACAAGGGTGAATTTTCTACCATACAAGAAGTTGTGGAATTTCTTCACTGCGAAGATGATAGCCAGTGCTTCCTTCTCAATTTGGCTATACTTAACCTCACACTTGGATAAGGCTCTTGACGCAAATGCGATTGGTCGTTCTGCCCCATCAGGTAGGTTATGAGCAATCACACATCCAATTCCGTAGCTGGAACTGTCAGAGGTTACAATAATGTCCAGTTCGGGGTTGTAAGGCATTAGAACGTTGTCCTTAACGAGTAGATTCTTGCACTGCAAAAATGTAGCTTCACATTCTTTGCACCAATTCCACGGTACATCCTTATTCAATAGCCTATATAAAGGATGGAGCAAAGTTGACAGGTTTGGCAAAAATTTGCCATAGAAATTGACTAAGCCTAGGAAAGATCGCAGCTGCGTAACATTTTCAGGCTTCGGAGCGTTTGCAATAGCCTTCGTAAGGTCATCCGATTGATGAATTCCCTTTTCATCAATTCGATACCCAAGAAATTTCAGACTTTTCTGAAAGAATTCACTCTTTGACGTGTTAATTTGAACGCCATATTGACACAAGCGTTTCAACACCGCATCTACCTTAGTACACATGTCTTGTGTATTTATACTGTAAATCAAAATATCGTCCAGGTAACATACTGTACCCTCTAACCCAAACAAAATTTTGTCCATTGTAGCTTGGAATAGCGCCCCAGCGCTCGTAATACCATATGGAAGTCGAGCATATCGATAAAGACCCTTATGAGTATTAATAGTTAGAAGTTCCTGTGAGCTTTGGCTAACTTTTAGTTGACTATAAGCAGCCGTCAGATCTAACTTAGAGAAACACTTGGATCCTGATATTTTTGCAAAAATGTCTTCAGGGTTAGGGAGAGGGTAGTGGTCGGTTCTTAACCAGGGGTTGACAGTAGATTTAAAGTCGCCACATAGGCGCACTCCTCCATTATTTTTCGGAACTACTACTATTGGAGAGCTCCAATCTGACTGAGTAACTGGGAAAATTACACCATTTTTCATTAAATTGTCTAATTCATTTTCAACTGCGTTGCGCAGAGCATACGGGACATTTCGGGCTTTACAGAAAACCGGCCTAGCCCCTTCTTTTAAAACTAAATCCACAGAAATATCTTTAATTTCTCCAATAGTGTTCTCAAAAACAGAAGCATATTTCTTCTTCAATTCATTAACTAGGCCTAAGTCAGAAGTTAGAACGGTCTTACCGTTAAGCTGATGCACATTCGTCTCTGCGCTGGCAGCAACCTGATCACTAGGTCCCATTGAACTCCAATCCAGTTTAAGCTTTTCTAGCCAATTACGTCCCAGTAGCGATGGCTGGCGCGCTCCGGCGCTCTCGATGACGACAATCGGTAGATGTTGGCTGTCTCCTGTGTTGGTGCTAATATTAGCCTGAAACTTCCCAAGAACATTTATATCTTCTCCAGTGTAGGTTTTCAACTTTATATGACACTCTTCCAGTTTAGTTTCCTTTTTATAAAAATTTTCAAAATAAATATTATCAGGCATAACTGTAACTACAGCCCCAGTATCCACAACCATCTCAATCGGGACCTTATCTATCATAACAGTTGTCACAAAACTATTTACCTTAGATTGTGACTGGTTAGCATAGGCTATTGTATGAAGGCCTAATTCATAATCCAAGTCTGGCTGGCCAGCGGGTGATTCATCTTCCTCGCTGCCAGATTCACATATATTTACACGGCCCATAGGCCTACTATGAAATTTATTACTAGGCTTACCATATTTGTTGTTAGGCCTAGAAGGCTTACTTGATTGACACATATTAGAAAGATGACCCTTTCTCTGAGAATTGAAACAAGTGAATTCAACATAAGGACAGTTTTTGGAGTCATGTGTTTTACCGCAACGGTAACATTTTTGCTGAAACATACCCTTAGGCCTAGGCTTAAATGCACCCTGCCCCTTCCGATTAATGCCTGGGGTAGGCTTAACAAAATTGATTTCACCTACATTTCTTTCAGGGTGGAGAGATCTAACATTTCGATCTGCATTTTCAATAACCAATGCAATATCCATTGCCTTAGAGAAGGTTAGGGAATCCCCCTCTGCCAAAAGTTTACTTTGGATAGCTGCCGATTTTAGGCCGCAAAGAAACCTATCTCTGAGTGCCTCATCAAGAAATTTATCAAACTTACAAGAAGCAGCAAGTTTCTTTAACTGCATACAATAGTCTGATATTGACTCTCCCTCCTTTTGTGACCTTTTATTGAACAGAAATCGCTCATAAGTCGTGTTAATCTTAGGCAGGAAATGTGACTCCAAAACATCCATTGCCCCCTTAAACTCTACCTCACCTACCTTCTTTGGATGAAGTAGGTCTTTAAGCGTAGTATAGAGCCTAGGCCCCATGATTGATATGAAATATGACAATTTCTCCTCATCTTTTATTTTATTAATCGTGAAAAAATTGCTTAGCCTTTCCGAATAATTTTCAAAGGTCTCCAGTTCTTCATTAAACTCACTGACTTTACCTATCAGTTGTTTACTCATTGTAGAAACAACTATCTGCACACTTTAAACTGATTTTAAACTCAAAAATCATTTATCTTCACAATTCCTAAACTTTCCTTCCGTGACATGAAAATGACAAGATTCTTGCAACTTGCAGGTTAAAAACTGTCTTCATGATGAGTCATCACTTGATGGATGACGAACGAAAGCGGGCAAGCGGTCACTGTTACTAGTAACTGCTACATTTGGAACAGTTGCACTCGGTCTGGAACAGGTTTTGGAACCGTGACTGCCGAAATTGGTGACGCTGTAGAACCTATTATTTCGGAACGGTAACTGTTACTTTGGAACTGTTCCCACACACGCTACGCACTTTTCCTGCACGAAATTGCAACTTCTGGCAAAGTGTAAAAACGCACTTTTAAGCTTCAATACTGATAAAAACGCGAACGGATTTCGAAAAAACACCTCGCCGCCACTTGTTTTACCCCGGAAAACATATGTTTAAGTACTTTAATCTTACTAACTTAAATTAACGAACTCGAACTAATAGATCAGAACAGATTAACCCGTCTAGTCGTACCTGGATCTCAGCTCGAACTGAAGCCTCGTCTTGCTCTCGTAGGGGAGGGGGCTTATCTCCAAACCCAGGTTCCAAAGGTCACTAATTGTCCTTCTACTCTACATTGTTCAAATAATAACTTAGGCTAATTCTCTTCTTATTTACAACAAAAGGTTATGGGATTGATTGAACTAAAATAACCGCAGGGAAACTTATAAGTAGAAAAGTCGTCAACCACAATCTGTTTAATCAGTACATTGTTAGAGAGAGACAGCAGAGAGAGAGAATGAAAGGGAGATAGCAGATAGGGGCGTTTGATAAGGAATCTGAAAAAGTAAACAAACAAGGAACAATGACACGACGATACGATACACGTTTACAGCCTTATTGTGTCACCCACTACATTTGCACACGTGACCACTTTTTGTTTCTTCCTTATCTTTCATCCGTCCCAAAATAGAATTCCTGAAATAGTTTGTTGGTATAATCTCCCCTCCTACACAAGGCGCAGTGCTCAGTGCGCACTGTAAGTTGTCACGGCAACCGTGTGTCGTCATAGTGACGGGCCAATCACGCACTCGCACTGCGTTGTATATTAGGATACGAATAGCTGTGTTAGAAAGACAACACGATTGTGGTAGTTTGTCTCTTTCCTATGTCCTCAAAATTACGATCGATAATCATTGCGTCTTGACTGAGCCGAGGTTCGTGCTTATCAAACCTCGGAGCATGAACAACGTAGAATTGTGATAACATTGTTTTCAATTACGACCCAAATTAAGTGTTTTTTTTTTAGTTTTGACTTAGTATTAAAAGCTCGGCTCGAACTTCGAGCTTTTTCAAAATGCCTCGAGCCGAGCCGAATAATGAAAAGCTCGACCAAAAAGCTCGAAGATTCGAGTACTCGCACACCCCTAATTAAAATACACTCTAACAGAATTTTAAATTATTAATTTTATTTTCAATATAACTCGTTTTTAATATTAGACCTAACAAACACAATACTCGCACGTAAATGAAATACATTTGGAATCAAACCCGTTATTTTATAGCTTCAGGAATTAAACAAAAATCATCCAAAATCCAGCAATAATTTATATTTTTTTTCCATTGGTACAATTGTTCTCCCTGAATACTGGTAGTGATAACCAAGCTAACATTATTGCTTATTCTGTTAGAGTTAGTCAACAGGTATTATATACTTACAAACAAGCTGTCGTATCTTATGATCTACGGAGGAGACTTGAAGCAGTTGAGACTCTACTGTCTTCTCTTGATCTGCTGACAGTGCCTGAGGTAAAGCGGTGTTGCTGTCTTTGATGGCTTGAGCACTGACATTCGGTAAAACCGCTTCCAAGTCTCTGCAATCAAAGAGAGAAGTTTCTATAAGAGGGAGTGTGGGCATTGTAAATATTGCTACCAACCAAAACTATAAAAATTGTTGAAAAATTACAAGAAAATTGTTACTCTACTAAGTAGCATAATACAATCTTTCTTTTCTGAGAATTCTTATAATGTGACTGTATGGTCTGGTATTATTGTGCCTTATTTCTTAAATACGAAATTGGCAATACTCTTTAAAAAATGGAATGATGAAAGGATTCATAACTTCTTAGTTCTAAAATAGTTGGCCATATCATATAATTATCACGATGTGTCAATGGCTGTCCCAGGAACATGTCACGTTTTTGAAAAACTTCACACTTTCTGATTTAAAAATAACACTAACAAGGTTTTTGCAGAGAGGGTAAAAATGCTATACTATTCTTGAAGTAAGTCCATAGAGACACATAAAACATCACAAAATTAAAAGTAGAAATTTTCGTGGTCACTGACCACTTTTTCAACCACTGGAGATTGGAGAAATAAATGTAATTTGTTTTCTCCAATCTCAAGTGGTTGAAAAAGTGGTCAGTGACCACGAAAATTTCTACTTTTAATTTTGTGATGTTTTATGTGTCTCTATGGACTTATTTAAAGGTAAGCCTGCTTTCCTGTCAATTTCCTTAATAATTCCTGGCAAATGCCCTATCTTTTTATAAGATATTCTTGAAGTAATATGGTGGGTCTTACTTAAACTTGACCACACCTCTGGAACTAATCGACTTAGTGGGGCTGTGCGCACAGAAAATTACTGTCAGGAGTGTGAAGAGGGTTTAGTCTCAAGTACGTTTTAAAATACGATTCGGTAGGAAAACAAGTTTCGGAAGGACATTATTTTCTGCCGTTATTGACCCTTTCCTCTTTTTTCCTGCGCCAGGCACATGTGCCTTCTTAGGGTTGTTTGACAGTGAGTCAAGTAATGTTGAATTTTCAGAATAATTAGAAACATTAGTGGATGTGGTTCCAGGAAAACCTGCATGATGCTACGTTCTATATGAGTTTTTTAGCCACCCATAAGATAGAGATTCAAATGTTGGCTGAAGACAAGATCTAACAACTTACTTGTTTGAATGCGTGTCCTGCAGTAGAAGTAGCACATGCTCCTTCAAAGACAGTTTAAATGCGGTGTTTGCTTGAAGCTGAGGTACAGCGCTTACCACTAGGAGCAGCACTGTAGCTGCGACTGTGGCTCGTAGAATGTCACTTCGTAACTCTACAAAACGCTTCTGGTCCATCAACAGTGTCTACAATCAAAACCACAGAACTAGTACAGAAGAATTTTTATATCTAGAGACTTCCTTTCCCATCCTTATCGCAGCAACAAAAAAAAACCAAGCCCGTTTGAATCTAGTTTGGTTATGAACCCCACGTTTTCTGTTTGGTAATGTTTTGTTCTGTAATTTTTTGCTAAACGTTCTTGTCCAATTTTTTAAATAAAGACAATTAACTGCACTTGAAATAATCAAACAATTGTTTACAGCTTTGGCCTACTAGCTCAACTAAGTAGTAAACATAGAAAATTGTAAACAACAGATACATAGTGAAAGAGATCGAGGCTCTGAGACTAGTGCTTGCTTCTTTCCATTTGTAAGCCATGGGAAATACGTTTGGCTTCTGAGAGGAGGTCAGATAAACTAAGGACCAGTAAAACCGAGACCGGTTGTCAGGGGTTCCACGGTAGGGGAAACAAATTATGAATGAGTAAATTAACAAACTGGAAGTGTCCATTCTTAAGTTGTGCAGTGTGTTACCTCCGGAAAGGGAATGTCATCGTCCCACGTGAGCAGTTCCAGATAGGCCTGAGCTATGACCTCGCGACGGTCATCCATGGAGGCGAGCGGAGTGGCCGGACTGACTTGTCTCAGTAGCCATGCCTTGGTGGCCTCCAGGCCGTCAGGGTTGACTCTCAGGTACTCCTTGAACTTGGCCTTCTCATAGTCCACACTGTTGGCTGCCACTAGAGGCCGATACATCTCTATGGTGAAGTTGGCCATGTCTAACCTCATCAGTTCCAGAGTCTATGGACAACAATCGTTGTGTAGTTTTATTTGTAGGTTAAAATAAGTTCTGGTCAAATAAGACAGTGAATTACCGTTACATAGACAAGCCAGAGGTGGACATCAGTGATAAGATTAGACGGCTAGTCTTGAAAAAGCAATGTCTTGCATATCAGCCTAAGATGTAACACTTATCTACGGTGTTAAATTAAATATGGCATTTTCTAAATTTAATTCAATTAAATTTATTTTAGCTTCTAGTATCAAGTTAAAAAAACTATTTTATGTGTATTCCAATCACCTTTTGATGTATTTTGTTTTTTCCTAGGACGCTTAAGCCCCCCACACACTATCGAACATGCCACCCGACCTGATAACCTGACCTGACGATGGACCCATCATCCAACCTGACGTATGTCGGGTCTTTCCCACACACTGTCAAGCATGTTACCCAACAAGTCAGGTGAAATATTAGTTCTGAGATGGATTTCCAGACGACTGTAGCTGTTTGTGGGGGATTTTTAGCGATGATTTTTAGGAATTTTTAAAGCCTACGGAACGAGGCTCTTAAGTTTTACGAACTTTAAATCACACAATCTGGATACAGTTCCTTGCACTTTTCCATCAGGATATCGTGCCCCTCTATATGTGCATGTTGGCTGCAATAGAGTTTACTTTTGACATCCCACAACACCTTCTGGTCTCAGTAGAGTTCAATAAGTTCTGACCAAAACTGTTTATTATCATTAAATGACATTATGGAAAAATGGGACGGGTATCACGCACAACTCGCTAAATACAAGTCAACTGGCAACTGTGGCTAGTCGGGCGAGCAGTTCGACGGTTTCCCACACACGGTTTAATTTTTAGTAATTTTTAAACTTTCCGAGCGGCATTTGTGTTTCGGGTAGAAACATAAGAGGTTCTTGAACACGTCTAAGCTTATAGAAATCGTAGCAAGATAGTTTTTAGTGATTATAATTTAAAAGAGCATAGGCTAGTTTGAAATACCTTTGGCCAAGTTTTAATATTTGTTTGTTAATAAAAAAATTATTAGTAGCTGGAAGTCTACCTGGCCCAGGCGTACACTTACCTCACTTGACCTTACATTTACTAACAAAAAATAAATAATAGGGGCATACCTCTAAAATGCCTTTGAATACAGCAACAGTGTCAGATTCCTGTTTAAGCTTGTTTATGTTCTCATCTCGAGCTGGAGTACACATCTTGGCCATCAAACTTATAACATAGTTGGCATAGTACTGAAAACATTGTTACAATTTTTGATTAAATTATATACCAATATTAAACACAATATTTATTTTATGGATACCCCTAAGCAAAAGTTAACATATCCCATAACACAGGACATCTTGATCGTTGCCCGCAATCTTGGCAAATAATTCATTTTAGAAAATAAAAATTTAATTTTTGTTCAAAAAAATTGTTATACGGTGCAGCCCCCTTTTGCATGCAGCCAAAAGGGGGAGGTAGGGATTTTACTAAAATCCGCCAAATCCGGTACTGACTACCACTTAGGTTGTTATGGGAGGGGGGGCTGGGTTTGTAGAAGAGTATAAACCAAAACACAAGTATAGGCTTCTGAAATATAGCCTATATTTCACAAGTATATTGTGAAATATAGACTTGTGATGAAAACTGAAACAAATAGGCCTATATCATGCATTTAATGTTTTGCAAAAAGAGGTTTTCAGTTTTTGTTTAAGAAAAAATAGTAGACTCGGTATATTTTTAGATGTATTTCTAGCCCCGATTGTAGCTGTTAGCTTAACAAAAGAAAATGTGAAGTAACAAACCTGAAAATCTAGTGAGCCGTTTTCAACCTGCTGTCTTATCAACTCAATGTCTAGAACTTCTTCGATTTCTTCTTTCAGTTTAGTATTATGTGGTAATAGCAATGATAGCAATGTCTGAAAAATAATATCACAATTGGATTATAACTTTTTCTAAGCATAATATTCTTGGCCATATCCTATCATATTAATTTTACGCTTGCAAGACGGTAGGTGCATTTATGAGCCTACGTAGTTACACCCCCTTTGTCTTACAAGCTATGAATTGTGTTTGGTACCCTGATCAACGGGTGGCGTCGTCCTGTAATCCATCTACTAGGAGGTCACGAATTGTGGATATTTATAGGGATGCACTGTGGATGTGATGCTCCCTGGTGTGGATTAACGTCCGCACTAGTGAGTACTACGACTAACCGCAGTACTATCCTGATAATTAGACCAATTTGTAAATTACAAGGAAAAAAATGTGGTTCGGATTCCACTATAAACTGTAGGTCCCTTAGTTGCCATTAGCAGTATGGGCTATTAATTAACAGCTGTGTCTAAGGAACATGTCGACCTTAGTCACTAACAAGACTACAAGATCGCGCCAATCATCCTACACTCATATTTGGGTTAAAATACGCACATAGTGGCGTCCCCATCTTAAATAATTGATTGATAATTGACCAATGATTAAAAAATATCACAACTAAAAAGTAGGCCTATTCAAGTTTATTTTTCAATACAAAATCATTACAACCCATAGTTTATTGTGGTAAATGCATACAACATTCATTAGTATAGTTTTTTCATAGAGGAATTTTTATGTCCTGTAGAAAACCATCACTACCTACTTAAAAATTTTCAATTATTTCTCCTTCTTAATTAAATGAGGGGAAAACATACAACCTCATATTTATCAAGTTGGAGTAAGTATGAATAACACAACGTTTCAGTAACTTGTCAAAAATAAGAGGTTATGTTCTGTATTCAATATAGACTGATAGATCCTACCATTACCTTCTTGTTTTATTGAGAATCGGCCTACCTCTTTTATTTCTGACAACAGAACCAGTGCTTGTGTATAGTTGGGTGGATCTTCCTGTAGTTGTTGGCTAAGAATGTCCCAGAATGCCTTGAATACTGTATCCTTCACTCGCTTGTGCAAGCTGCAACAATTCATTACAGAAATAATATTTCAAGTGTAATACACATCAACCAGCTTAATTTTGGTGCCTTCTACTCTTATTTGTGTTACGTGAAAGTATGCTCAGATAGCAAACATAAGCCTTTTCCTCAGCTATATTTAAATTTTAAATTAGTAGGCTATTAGTACCTAAACATAATGTAAAATTATTTCAACTTTTTAAGCATTAATTTTTATCTATATTGTGAACAAGACTATTTTTGCTTTAAAATATTAAGTTACCTTCATATGTTTGCTTACATAGATAGATAGATAGATAGATAGATAGATAGATAGATAGATAGATAGATCGATAGATAGATAGATAGATAGATAGATAGATAGATAGATAGATAGATAGATAGATTTATTCGATCATTAAACATTATACATAAAATGCAATAGATCATGTCAATACAGCAAACAAGTACATGCAATCAAGCTACATCAATCAAGGTTTACATGCACAAAAAAATAGGTACTTATAAGCAGTGTTGGGAAGTAGCGCGCTACAAGTAGCGACGCTACAGTAGCGCGCTACTTTTTTGTAGCGTTAGCTGTAGCTACGCTACTTTTAAGATTTTGTAGCTTTAGCTGTAGCTAGCTACATTTTTAAAGTAGTTGTAGCGGAATTTTAGCTACTTTTCTCGCTACATTATCGTTTGAGATAGTGATTTTTATCATAACCTCAACCTTACGTGAAACAACCTCTTTCAAACTGAGGTTTAAAAAAAAATTAGGCCTTACTTTCTTGGCTTCATACAGCTGGTTGCAGCCGTTTCATTCCCTATTACAACGTTGTGTGGACATAGAGGCCATTAAATGAGTGTTATCCACATTTTTGGCTCTCATTTCCTTAATTTACTACTCTATGATTACTACTGTCAGATAAAATAAAATCGCTAGATGCAGACGACGTTACCGGTGACAAGAGAAGCTATTGAATGCTTGCAAGTGATTGACAGGGAAATTAGTAATCAATTTAGTTTCTTTATTATACCGATAGTGTTTCAACTTGGATTTTAATGGAAACCAACACTAAACCTTAAAATAATGAGAAATCTGGTCTATCAACCTTTGCTTCAGCTGTTGATTGTGGTTCATCGTCACAAGCCCTTCCTTGGTTAGATTACGAAGATTTTTCAAAGGTAAGGTTTACTAAATTAACAAAGAGGAAATTACCTGATGTGATTTAAGATATGTATAGACTAATAGTTATTTGTGCAACTAGTGAGAAAAGTGAGCAATTGACTCACTCGAGAGAAATCCTTACTCACGAGCCGTAGGCGAGTGAGGAATGGTTTCTCGAGTGAGGCAATTGTACTTTGAACTCGAGTTGCACATTATACTTTTCCTACAGTTACCATAAAACAAATAAATTTGTGAAGAAACATAACCTATTTTTACACAGAAGTTAACTTTTAACATAACATTTAATTTGAAGTGACCAGGGCCGGATTTAGCATTTTCGCGCCCCTAGGCCCAAATAATTTTTCCGCCCCCTAGTCTGGTCACAGTTTCTTTCCTACAAACCTTTATTAAAAACTATATCATGCTCCTAGGCCTATGTTAATTGCTTGAACACCACTCCTCGTCGGAATTTTATAATTGCAAGTTTTTTGAAGAATTGTCTTGGTTAGCCTTAACAAAATGCCGTCTTAAACACTTTTGTCAATTTTATGCTTTTGGCAAATGCTCACGCTTGTGGGACTGAAACAAAACAATCCAAACCACAGAGCATTCCTGCAAAAAAGCATATCCATTGATTCCGATTTCAGGCCCCAAAACATGAACTCCATAACAGTACGTGATACCATAGATTAAACATACTCCTTTAGTAGATTTGTGATCCTTAGGGATTAGCTGAAAACAATTCTTTTTATTTAAGCTATTTAATGCTTGTTTGTCAAAAATAAAATGATGTAATCATAAACAATAGGTCGTCCCCAGGTTATATTACAAGAAATTAAAACACACAACATAGAACCATAGAACTATCCAAAAAATAATAGAAACAAAATTACGTGAAAAGTAACTTCCAGTGTCACCAACACATATGAACTACACATTAAAAACTATATTTAGAATTAACAATGTGATAAAAAGTCGACTTGAGTTTATGGTTAATCTATGGTAGTACTGCATCCAGGTTATATTTGCAAAGCAAAACAAAGCAATAGTCCCGCCGACCATAATTATCTTTAGGTCTAAGCCAAAAGCAGAAAATGACACTATTAATGGTTTCTTTGGAGGGGATTTAATTTTTCTAAAACCTGTTGCAAACTCAGATAAATATTTTTTCGTTATTGAATTTTAAAGATAAACTTATCATATTTTTAATAGATATTCAACAAAACGTATTATATATTTTAACTTAACCCTGCAGGTAATCTGATCAAAAGATTAGTTAATGATTTTTTTTGTGAGGTGAGGGTGGTAATGGTGTCTAGTACGCATGCGCCCCTAATCACTCCGATCAGTAGCGCCGAGTCAGCATAGTGGCAGTGCAAAGATTACAGTGGCAATACGACCCGTACCGCTCGGGCCAGGGCCGGGGATAGCAGCTGGCTCGGGCGCTTGACAACATCCCTACAGCCTACTCCTGTATAACCAATGTTCGTTACCAATGTTGTAACGAAATTGATGCGTAATGTTGTAACAGTTATATAATTATAATGCTTTATTGGCAAGAGTTCTTTTTTATCAACTCGCAAAATATGTTAAGCTATGGCTATTACTATTAATTTTATTTTTTAGATATAAAAAAATATTTTTCCTCTCGGCCGTGCGCCCTCTGTGAGCTCGCGCCCATAGGCCCGGGCCTACCGGGCCTATTGGGAAATCCGGCCCTGGAAGTGACAAATACAACAGTACAACAGCTCAACAGCTGACCAGCTGATTTACAGCCAGTGCTGCCAACGTATTTCGCGCGCATACGATTTCGCCTGCATGTTACGCGCTCACTATTTGTGCCTTCACGTTGCAAATCTGGAGTGAGACAAAGTAATTAGAGTGAGACAATGTTAACATTGTCTCACTGATGAGCGAATTGGCCACTTTGCTTTCTCAAATCAGTGAGAGAACATGTACATTGTTAGGTAACTGTAGGAAAATGATAATTGTAACGAAAAAATCTCCATATAACATGAAACTTACATTGAAAAAAATAGCATAGTTTGCTCCTGGTACCTAACAGCTCTTGTATAGGACTATTAATTTCTAGGCTATGCTATGGTTTAAGACGAATACCAAGTCCCAAGTTCAATTATTAGGAATATATCTGTTTAGTCCTTGCAAGAACAAGCCTACTATAGCCAACTTGTTACATAGCCAAGTAGGCCTACATGTTATTTTTACTTTACAAATTTCAACATGTTTAAATTAAAAGCCGATTTCAGGATAAGTTACTGGATACTGTTTTCTGTACCAACTAGGTTGAAGCACAATTTGCCCTATGCATAATGACAACAAAGGACGATTTCTTGACATTGAAAAGTGTTATTCATAGTACAAGTAACTTATCACTTAAAAGTTTATAGCAATGTCGTTTTTAACATTAAAAGAAAGGCAATAAACTCCAATTTCAGTAGGCTAGGCTCTGTAACACAAAAAATTATTTTTAAATAATCGTTTTACAGTTTTATTGGTCTTAATTGTTGATATAAGACATCTATGAATGAATCTATATTAAAGAAATAAAATGAGCTTTTAAAATATAGTTTGGTTGTATGTCCTTTGAAGAACTTACTGAAATTTACATTTAAGATGCTTAAAAATAATGCAATATTTAAAAATAAGTACTAAATATGATGGGACACCGAACTATTTGGTTCTGTTGTTGTAATGTTAGGTTTATAATGCCAAAAAATTAAATGTACAATCTAGGAATAATTTGTTTTCCAATTAATGTTAGATACAATACCTACTGACATTTTTTTAATGTTTGTTCAGTAAAAATGTAGTTGCAATTAATTTTACATTTACCTAATGTGCGTGGAATAAAAAGTAACGTCTTTGGAAAATTAGCTAAAATTGTAGCTGTAGCTACATTTCAATGTAGCTGTAGTTGTAGCTAGCTACTTTTGCGGAACTGGAGCTGTAGCTGTAGCTAAGCTACTTTTTTGGAAATGTAGCAGTAGTTGTAGCTAGCTACATTTTAAAAGTAGCTTCCCCAACACTGCTTATAAGATAAATTATGAATAATACAGACAGGCTTACTAAATAATATATGCAATAGTAATTAAGTATAAAAAAGTTAAATCACAGTGGGCGACATACTTGAATAAGTAACTATAGGCCTATTCCAATAGAGCTACTTATGGTAGAATATTTTTTATACCCCCAAACTCCATAATCTTACAGGGTCTGGTCTGAAATGCATGGAATTATCGAGTCTTCAACCTTGCTATAAGATATTTCATTATAAGGATCTCATTACAGATAGCCCATTAGTTTTATTAAAAGGACGATTTTAAAAGACAATACATCTTGCAAATTACAACTAAGACAACTACTTTCAGAAGTAAAAAAAACCCAGGTTTTGTAATTCCTAATAAATTTTCATTCATAAGCATTTAAAGTAGTTAGGCCTACCTATTTTCTGGAGGTTCCCTTTTTCCTAGTTCAAAAGTGCTATCAACAGCAATTTCATGAGCTAGAGCCATATTTGCCATTCCTTTTGCGGCTGATATTATCTCTTCTAAAGAAACAAATTTTGGAGGAGAAGCACTTGTCAATCCAGGAAACAAACTTTCACTTAATGTCCTCTGTCTGCAAACAAATCAGAAAATTAAATAGGCTACTGTAACTATAATACTGTATTACTTACTACTGTATGTACTATATGTATGTTACTATACAGGGTGGCTGAAAAGTAACTTGCACCCCCCCCCCCCCTTAGCTTTTCAACCATTTGAGATATTTGAAATCTGTTTGCGGCAACCTTCTTAGATATGAGGGGCTACAATAATTATGGTCAATTATGAAAATTTTGCCCTTAGGGGTAGCGGGGGTAGGGGATAGCTCAAAATTTTCAAATGACAAGTATAGTCGAGTTTGGTATCATTTTACAGGTCTTGACGAAACATAAACATTGAAATAAAGAAAACCAAAATCGGCTCACTAATAACAAAATGGCGCCCTAAAACGTTTCAAATCCAAATAACCATGAGGGTGGCAAAAAAATTAACTTGCACCCTCTTTAACCTTTTGACTATTTGAGATATTTGAAATCGGTTTGCGACAACTTGTTTGGATATAAAGGGCTACAATAATTATGGTCAGTTTTGAAAATTTTGCCTTTAGGGGTAGCGAGGTAGGGGGTAGCTCAAAATTTTCAAATAGCAAGTGTAGTCGAGTTTGGTATCATTTTGTAGGTATTGACGAAACATAACAATTAACATTAATAAAATAGAAATCGGACCATTATTAACAAAATGGCAGTTCAAATTTACTTTAAATAACCATTGTCTCAATCATTTTTAGCTAACATAACAATTAACATTAATAAAATAGAAATCGGACCATTATTAACAAAATGGCAGTTCAAATTTACTTTAAATACCTAACCATTGTCTCAATCATTTTTAGCTGCCATTTTGTTATTAATGCTCCGATTTCTATTTTCTTTATGTTAATTGTTATGTTTCGTCAAGACCTACAAAATGATACCAAACTCGACTATACTTGCTATTTGAAAATTTTGAGCTAACCCCTACCCCCGCTACCCCCTACCCCCGCTACCCCTAAGGGCAAAATTTTCAAAACTGACCATAATTATTGTAGCCCTTCATATCCAAACAAGTTGCTGCAAACCGATTTCAAATATCTAAAATAGTTAAAAACGTTAAAGAGGGTGTAAGTTAATTTTTTTGCCACCTTCATGGTTATTCGGATTTGAAACGTTTTAGGGCACCATTTCGTTATTAGTGAACCGATTTTGGATTTCTTTATGTCAATGTTTATGTTTCGTCAAGACCTGTAAAATGATACCAAACTCGACTATACTTGTCATTTGAAAATTTTGAGCTACCCCCTACCCCCGCTGGGTAAGGGCAAAATTTTTTCAAAATTGACCATAATTATTGTAGCCCCTCATATCTAAGAAGGTTGCCGCAAACCAATTTCAAATATCTCAAATGGTTGAAAAGTTAAGGGGGGTGCAAGTTACTTTTCAGCCACCCTGTATGTATAAAACTATACTGTACTTGTAAATAAATCTAAGTGATGCTTTTTATATACTTGTTGCATTTTATTTAGGTCGCTTTTTATAATGATATTTCAGTATGCTGGAAGACAATAATGAAATACTAAAACTAACAAGGTCATTACTAGTTTTAGGTATTTTGGCATTCTCAGGTAAAATCCCTTTCAAATCTATAGGTCTTATATACCTTCATTAACGGACAAACTTGTAGTTTTGTTAAAAGATTTAAAATAGGCCTTGTTGAATAAAATGATCTTAAATCTTACCTTTTAGAACCTTGATCTGAACTTTCACTCAAGTTCCGCCCTCGTCCTGAATAAGATGTACCAGGAGCTGTCTCCTTAGAATCATTAGTGCTGCTAGGGGGCGGCTTGTCTGAACTCATTTATAAAGAAAAGCTAGACACCTGTAACAAATTAATAATTACAACTTACGTCAATCAATCCAGTAATATTTATGGAGGACGCACGTTTCGACCTTTAGGTCATCTTCTGCTCCGCTGTTGCACTAGGTTATTCCATACATAGTTGCATTGTTGGTGTAGCAAAAACGAAAAATATTTTAAATTGAGAAACATAGTCTGACGACGTAAACATAAAAACACGACACTGACGAAGACATTTAAATAAAACTATCACCGTGCGAACGGCTGAACGGGCTCGGGAATGCGGCTGTAAAATATTTGACGCGGTTGCTACACCAACAATACAACTAAGTATGGAATAACCTAGTGCAACAGCGGAGCAGAAGATGACCTAAAGGTCAAAACGTGCGTCCTCCATAAATATTACTGGATTGATTGACATAAGTTGTAATTATTAATTTAAACATCAATCCGTTTGCTACAAATCAATCATGATGTAACAAATTAGACAACATTTGAATACCGGTACCGGTACAATAGTTTGATTGTTTTGTAACTTATATTTTCCAAGAGTTTAGTTAATCACATGACTGATTGTAAGCTTATTGGTCTATCTCTATTTTATATCTGCCCAGAAATTTATTTCTATAAGGAATTTTCACAAATAAATATCTAAAGACCATTACAAGTTCTAAAGAAGTGGTTGGGGGAAAATTCTTAAGTTAATTTTTATAGGGCAGGGCGCTATATGACCTTGACAAAAGCGAAGACGTAGGGAGGTTTGTCCGCCTGTCACTCCCGGCCTGACCATGATAACTTATACTTAAGGCTGCGTTCTACCCGTCTGGCGTGGGCAAATGCAAGGGTTTTGGTTCTTACTGTTTGTAGCCCCAATTGTGAACCGATTTAAAAGATCTTGGTGTCATTATTTTTATTAAATATTATTGTAGATGTAGGTCCTGCGCTTTTTAAAATTTTGATATTTTAATAAAGGTTGGTAAAAATTTTAAAATAGGCTACACGTTTTTTATTATAAGTTTCAACACAAACAAATAATTTTTAGAGAAAAAATAACGAACGGGGGATAACGATGTAATCACCCAGATTCAAAGGCTTGCAAGCGTTCTTCATGGTGCTGTTCAGTGCAATGGTATAGGAACATTGGTGTTAAGCAACATCGAACTGAGAAATCTGAGCTGAGGTAGAGCGAAGTTGCCACAATTTGTAAAACTTTGTTGAACAATTTACTCTAAATTATATTAAGTTATGCCTAGAGTTAATGATTGGGTGCCCTCTTAGTCTTTGCTTTTAATATAATATAAGTTAGGGTTACCTAATTAAGTTATTACATTAATTACCTTACCCTATCATGTAATAAACTAAAAATTACCTTATTACCATATCATCATCTTTTACCCAAAAGGGATTGATGGCGTCAATACTTTCAAAATCAAAAATATACATTTAGACAAACTGACATAAATACAAAAACATATATTTACAACATTGGCATACGTGGATAGGCGGATCAGTCAGAAAATTCTAGGAAAATGTCTTCAAAAAATTCTTTTAGGGAATAGTAGGCTCTTGACTTGAGTAGAGGGACCAGCTTCTTTAAGAAAATCTTACGCTCAAGCTGTTTGATAGAGTTTGGCAGCTTGTTATAGATTTGTATTGCTCCCGTGTTGTAACTCTTCTGGGATCTCGGCAGCCTAACCCTGGGCACATCAAGCAACCCGCGCTGCCTAGTTTGGTGGTCATGAACCGCCGAACGAAGTTGAAAGTTGACGCAGTTCTCATGGATCATCAGTGAGCATACGAGGATGTACTGAACCGTGAATATCCCCCTAATCCATGAACTCTACAGTACTGTAATGAATAATGTATACTTCTAAAAAGTATCTATTAACTTTAAATAAATAAGGGATAAAGAACTGAACCTCACTTTGTTTAAACACAAAAAATAAAAACAGTAAATAAAACAACACAATAAAATATTAATACAATGATAACACTATATTTACTACCTGTGATCTTTACTGGATATCTTACTTTTTGTTACCAGACCTATTATGATTGTAGGTTTAACACAACTTCAATATGTACCAAATAAAGAACAGGAATTAGCTACAACAACCTTCATTAGGCCATGAGTGGAGTGTTGACTAATTTTTGTTATTGATAAATTATTCTCAATGCTAACACTGTCCTCTGACAAGACAATAACGTGACAGACAGACAGAACAGACAGCAAAACAAAACAGACAGACCAAGCATTCTTCTTCTTCTTGAATTGAGGGTTGGCAGTAGTGGCAGTACTGTTTTAACATTTAACATTTAGCACTTAGCGGCGATTCATTGAAGTGAAGCATTGAATAAGAATAGTTTAGTTGGGCAACACTTGGAAACAGATTGGTTACAGAGCTCACCTAGGCTTTTTATCAGCAGGTTACACATGAAAACCAGATTCAGAACGATGAGAATGAAAAATTTTGAAGTAAAGTCATTAAATTTTCAAGTAACTAACATAGTATTTTATAACTTTATTTAGCCTCGATGGAGTATGTTTAATCCATGACTTAAGGGAGCACTAAAAATTAGTGTATGAGTTTAGAGAAGCCTGCCGCCAATTCAAACACACTTGAGCTGAATAAAAAGTTCTAATTTTTTATTTTGTTTATTTCGGTTTTGAATGTTTACGTATGAGATTTGAGATTTGATTTAGGTTAAGTTGTGAGGTTATCTACTTAACTTATCTGAGTTAGTGAGGAGTTTTGGCTTTAGATTTAATATTATTCAAGATCATGATGAAAGCTATTTAATTTTGGTATGTTTCAGCGAATGGGCCAGGAATTTTTTATATTATGTGTATCTCACTTAGTTTAAATTAGCTTACTCTAATCGAAAATGTCTTGTAAATAATTCAGTTTGTCATTTTTTATTTTGAGCATTTGTTTTGCAAATATTGTAGGTACTTAAACCTGCTCATTTATTTAAACTTACTTATACCCAGCAGGATGACTATCATGTTGAATACCTGTGTAAGATCTCGGATAAAGATTGTAAATCTGACTTCATCCAGTATTTTTAAAAACTTCCTAGCTGTCAAGGTTTTACCCATGTCTTCAAATGCAGTCTCAGCAAAAGATGATGGACTGAATAGTCAAGCATCATCCAAGGCCTTCAAAGAAATTTTCAGGTATGTTGAACACAGCTTATTAGGCATATAGGCATAATAGTTAATCCTTTGTTGCGGTTTTGTTTTGACAACTAGTTTTGGTTCTTCTGAACCATCATCAGGCTTCAAGGTGTCAGGTAATCACTTCACTCGAAGGTCGTTAACAAACAGAGTTCAATAAATAAAACGTATACGACACACGATAACAAGAGCGCACACTACCTACCTACCTCCTTGGCCATTCAAACCTAAGTTGGTTTTTGGCCTCGCCAACAAGTTGCCTCCAGTGTTTTTTGTCTGCTGCTTGGTCAATTAATGTCCCCATGCGTTGAAGGTCTTTCCGCACCTGGTCTCCCCATCGTAGTTTGGGTCTTCCTAGTGGTCGGGTCCCTCATGGTCATCCATTTGTAGCTATCTTCAGGAGACTGTTCTTCTCGCTATGTGTCCTGCCCACTTAAGTCTTCGGCTCTTAACAATAGCTACTATATCTGGGTCTTCATAAAGTTCTAGTATTTCTCCGTTTTTCCTGATCCGCCATATTTAATTTTCTCTTATGGGACCAAAAATCTTTCTTAATATCTTGTTCTCAAAGAAGATTAATCTCATTTTGTTTTGTTTGGTTAGGGCCAAGGCCTCAGATCCATTTAGGAGACAGGAGAGATTTCATTGTAGAGCGCACACACGTTTACAAAAAACACAAAACTTCCAAGTTATATTATCGGGTGTTGTATATGTTCTATTTATTTAACTCTGATAACGACCTTTGAATGAAGTGATTACCTGACACCTTGAGGCCTGATGACAGTTTACTAATTAGTTGTAGGCTACCTACCTAATTAAATTCGCAATTCCTAGAATTTCTAACAATATGGGCCTACAGACTTAAATCTTATTCTATAGAATATGTAAGGTATATACAGAATATGGAATCTGTAATCTTCGTACTGAACAGTTACCACGGAGTAGCCTGCTTAATTGATTGTTGGTGCTCAAATGATTCAATATGTTATAGTTCTTCCCATCGTTCCAACTGCTAATGACAGAAACAAAGTTTGTTTGACTAAAATCATTATGTACAAACTTAAAAAAGTTGTTCAGAGGCTGAATTAATTGCAATTGTTCCTTTGCAACCTTAACAAACAAAGACTAGACATATATTGCTTCATGCTGTCATATCATAAAATTTGTCTAGTAGTTAGATGTCCTTTATTAATTGTATTTATTTTGATTTTTCGTCAAGTAAAGGGTGTAAAATGCTTTGAATGGAATTTCTTTAGACGGACCAAATTTGATAGTCAGAGACAAGCATTGAGACCTAGTTTGGGTTGAAAATTGTGATTCTATAATATTTCATGTTAGACAATTGTTTTAACAGCGTTGAGGAATTTTTATCAGTCTGATTGTAGTACCTAGACATAATTTATTGGCATTGATATAACTTTGTAAATTGTGCTAATAACCTAACTTATTTTATACTTGTTGCTTTTATTCTATACTAGTGCATAATGTATTTTGACAATTTACCTGCCTGCGTGCAGAAGCACTCCTTATGTGATGTATTTTAATAAATAAATAAACACTCCCCTCTACACCCTGCGCCTTAACGCGGCTGCACGCCAACTAATAGGCCCCTACTGAATTCTGAATAGGGTTGAAAACGCTGACACTAATCCACTACTTTACATAACACTCTATACGTATCCACGCAATATTTCCAATGTCATAAAAATACACTACTTAGGAATTCAGGAGCACTTGGTCTTCTTCTTTAGCCTAACAATTAGCCTAAGTCTTAATTTAATGTTATCAACCACCACTGAGCAAACAAATTTACAATTAAGTACTAAGCTATTACCTACTAATCTGATAACTCTGCCCATATTTTTTTAGATTTCCTTACATTAAATTTGGATATGCCCTTAACAAGTTCAAGTGGGCCCAAACATTAGTGACAGCAGCTGCTCTACCAGCAAGTGCAGCTTTCTACTTTGGAGGGGTCTTTAATTCTGATACCTTAGTTGCTATTTTGATTTCTGGTGAGTAAAATCTGTTTACGCCACACTACACTGTTTTAACGAACTTCCCATGCAAGGATTTAGTCTTGTTAAGTTAGCTTAGAGTAGTATGAAGTAATAGTATATTATGTTACTAGTCCTGGAAAAAGTGTTTACTGGACGAGTGTGGTTGTTCCCACGTGTGGAGATCCACGCCCGCGTTGTCAGCGGCATCGTAGGAGGGGTTGCTGTTTGGAGATAAATCCAACAGTCCTAATGTACTTAATTCCGGTCAGTTAAAGATTTCCACTGTTCCTGGTAGAATCGTAAGGCATCAGGTTAGTGTGCATTTCAATGTTTTCAAGTAGACTGATGATAGCTTATGGATAATTTTTCTCTATTTCAGGTGTTGCTATCACTTTGAACGTCTATATATATGGAAGTGCATTTTATCAAGCAGTTGGTTTTTTGTATATCAGTGAAGATGGCTCAACTCTCAAGATATCTTACCTAGACTTCTGGGGAGAGCGAGTGAACATGGAGGTTCCTGTCGATGATGTTATGCCCCTTTCAGAGTGCCCTCATTCTTTTAGCGACCGCTTTTTCAGAACTATTTCTTTTTACTCTACAGAAAAACCAGCACCAAGATTGTTTCTCAAGTTCGGGGGTAAAATAACAGATACAGATAAGTTTATCAAAGTATTTGGTGAGCATACTGATTGATTGCAATACTGATAAGACTGTACTACTAACAGACGTTGCTTTACCTTTCTGCACCGATCAGGCTGAGAGATGTTAGAGTGTCTTAGTTCTAAGATACAGGCATCCAGCCTGAAAGGACTAAACTAGGAATACTATGGCCATAGCCTAACTTCTGAAAACTGTCACAGAAGTGAGAAAAGTACCTATTAAATTCACTGTCAATTGAAGAGTGAAACAGTACTGATCAACTGATCAAGACTGCAGCATAGGACGGGTCTTGGATAAGTCATGCAAATTGTGATTACATGAATATAATTGATTGTTTTAATTGAAGTTTGCTGTGTTATTCAACCCCTTTCAATACACTTAGCAGTCATGATAACATGACCACTGACCAGCCTCTTAAATTGCTTGTGTTAAGTACTTGAATGTAATTTTTACCTTCTATCACTTTATTATCTGATCTTTGTATTTTACATTTAGTTTACAAAATAAGGGAAGTTAAGTCAGGGCAAGGCCCCACTAGAAAAACAGTCCATGCTGCAGCGCGGGCAATGCAACATTAAATCACAGTGGTGGATAGTTGTACTAAAGTTGCCTGACGTTAACAGCCAGCTTATTTACCTAAACATATGTGACATGACAGTGAATCTATTCACAAGTGTGACAGCATAGATCCTGCAGCATGGCCTGTTTTTCTTGCTCAGGGTCCTCAAGAACAGATAGTTGGGCTGCATCTCATAAGTCATAAGTCACAACACCCAGCTGATTACAAGTCCCAAACTTACTAAAAGCTTTGTACGTTAAATACCATAACACAAGAGTGGTGCAGCCTGTACTATTTGTACTACTTAACTGTGGGGTGAGGGACTCAAACAAACAATCTTTATTTACACAAATATAAGGTACCTTTACGTCGACAGTTCAAATTTTTTAGTGAGTAAAGCTCACGACATGTTTTGCCTATTCAGGCATCGTCTGGTGATTACCTAACAAGAATGTTTCGTCCATTATAGAGTCGTCAAAAGAAACATTTAAATAAACACACAAACTGCCTCCGTGCCGTGACCGGTTAGTAGTAGGCCTACGGTACTTTAAATGTTAAATGTTTTTCATGCATTATGTTTGTGTGTTTATTTAATAGTTTCTTTTGACGACTCGAATGGACGAAACATTCTTGTTAGGTAATCACCAGACGATGCCTGAATAGGCGAAACATGTTGTGAGCTTCACTCACTACAAAATTTGAACTGTCGACGTAAAGGCATGTAGGGCCTACCTTATATTTGTCTAATTGAACAGTTCAGGGGCTACATAATGCATTTTAATTCTTTATTTAATTGTTTATTTTGTATTTTAACTTAAATCCAAATTACAAATGTATTGAAATGATCAGTTTTCCATTGCTCTCATTGCTTACATACAAGAAAACCCATATCCAGGTTTGTACGCCACTAGTTTTACTGCCATAAATTATTATTTTGACCTTTTTCCCTTGAATTAACTGAGTATATACATATAGGAGTTAATTCATGATTTGTAATTAGTCTGAACTTATCCTTATGACCTTGTTCCTAATTAATTATATTACACTATTATTGGCCTAAGTATACTACTAACCCTTCAAACCCCAAAAACTGTTCTTTAAATTTTCCCCATTTAAAGAAACATTTACCCCATCCCACAAACATAAATCAATATACCGGTATTTTAAAAGCAGCTTTTGGTGGGCACAAACACAGTAAGAATGAGAAAAAAAAAACGAAATCCCTTAGAGGTGGGACTTATAAAGAATCCACCCATCGTGTCAACTTACACCCAACCATCTGTTGATTTTTAGGTCAGTCTCCCATCAAGCTCTGTCACAGGCAGTAAAACTCATAAGTTGCACGTCCTCAGACCTCTCTATATCGGATAAAACCCTTGATATACAGTGTCATCTACTGGAGAAATGCTTTAACATCTCAACTATTAATCTCTGGCCTAGTGTTTGGTGATCCCATTCCCATCGCCCGGTAGCATTTCAATCCCAAAAAGTCCCCCCCCCCCCCCCCACTAGTCCCGAGCACTAGTTAGATAGTCTCCTTACTCTTCATCTGAGCAGGGACTGTCCTATTATTCCACGATTCTTCAGCATCTAAACACATGGATTTACTGTCTTCGCCTACTCTTCTCTTCACCCACCTTTCTTCCCTCCTTTACCATATTTCTGGGACTCTGTTCAAGTCAACGTATATCCATAGCTTCTCGTGGTAACAGTATGGAGGGAAAAAACTCAACAACAATGACATAATCAACTGTCGCAGCATAGTACTGCAAGACATGGGAGGGATCAAGATTCATGCAAAAATAATCCTAGCTAAGAGCATTTTGGGGAAAGGACAACCTACTTAGAGTAGGACTCACCAGGGCAAGGACTCTCCTGACCCATGAGAGAACCTGATGATGCTATGAAGAAAGTAGATGCAAGACAAATAACAGGAGAACATCAAGACTCAAGTACTGAAGCTGCCAATTCTCAGCATTAGCATCATCATACATACAGAGCACGCAGATCTACGGATGTTGCTCTGTATGGGCTATATAATGCTATCAAGAAACCCATGGACAGTTATAAGAAACTGCAATACAGGAGGACATATCAGGAGTCTTTGAATCCAGAGGGTATTGTAAGAGCAATTTGCCATCCACAAGAACAGTGGAAATGCACTGGGGAAATAGGAATATAGAAATGAGCACAGAAAAGGGGTGTCCTCAGAAAGGGATGATGTTCTCTTGGGTCTATAAACTGTTAATGAGCTTAGCCTTAAAGAGCCTTCATGTATTGGTTATGCAGATGACAGCCATAATTGCGAGAAACAATTGTTAAAGAACCCTTTATGTGACATGATCCAGAAGGAATTGAAATATAGAAAGTTATAGTGCGAGTCCTTTGGGCCATTGATTAATGTTAATCCGACAAAAACTTACTTGTGGCCTTCAGAAGAAAGACAAATTACATCAGCTGACATCCTTGTGTTTGACTTGTTTGAGTGAGTTGAGCTTCAATAGGAAACAGAGGTTAAGTTCCTGGATAAGAAGCTACTATGGAATAGAGTCATAATTTGTCTTCTATTTAAAATTGCTGACAAAGAAGGCAATGCATGAACCAGTGATTTGTTGGCGGTATGCTGGGAAGATGTGAGGCTGTAGCCCACACATTCAAAAAAGAAAGCATGTCCTGCTAGGAAGACCAATAATCACTTAATGGGCTGGTAGAACAAGGTTTGGGAACACAAGGAATTACTTGTTGAGGATCTTTTATCATAATTAAAACCATCTAAATCTTTTATCTTTTAAATCTTTTATTTTAACCATGAAATCTAACTGCATCCCTAGAGCTAGTCCTGGACCTGGCACCTGTGATTCATAACAGAAAACGCCATGAATCATTGTCAAGATATGGGCCAAAGAGTTGCGGAAAGGTATTATAATTTATGTATCTTCATTCAAAGGCTCGGTACGTAAACAAGCAAGTAATTGTAATATAGAAGTAAGCCTAAAACTTCACAAGCCTGTCAGGCACAGTTGAATTTATTTCATTATGATTGCACTTTAGTTAAACATGAAGTTTTTGTTGAGTTTTCGATACATTCAATTTTTTTTGTACTGTACCCATTTACAAAAAAATATATTATTTGAGGCTTAAAGGGTTGCACACATTGTGGCACGTACAATCTCCATTTGTGGCCTTAAAAAATCATTAAAGCCCCCCTTTAAAGTTAGCACCCCATCAACAAATTATATCACCTAATTATATACATAAATAACAAACACTATAGGTTAGATTTAGTAATCAACATGGAAGACTTTCTTATTACGTAGTGCTTATATATTTAGTTGAGGAAGAGGAACTACAGTAATAAAAGTAAATAAGAAAATTTGTACTCTGAACAAAAATATATTGATATATCACATATCCCGTTAAAAACGGTAAATTTGTAATATGATCATTATTATAGCCTCCTCTAATACAAGACCATGGTGTTGGTGTGTAGCTATACGTCGCACCGTCTGCCCTAGGCCTAATGCCTTGGTAAAAACATACGTGTGACATTGCTAAAAAAGCTCCATTATAATTTTAGAACAACCGCTGTTTCGGTACTGGTTTCACTTTAGTATCACCGCAGCCCCTTGTATTAGAGGAGCCTTTGATACATACCATACTCAAATCGAGATGGTTACTTATCATTATTTGTGTTACTTTATCAGTCCAAAACAATATGTCAATATACGCACCCAATCGCATTGGCAAGGATTAATTTGTCTATGAAATGAAGTAAAACAAAATTTCTTGTCACCTTTCTAAATATCTTTTCACCTATATCTTTTCAGTTGTAAAGGTTATGAAATATTTTTCTTTGTTAAGTTACAAAGTAAAATATTTCATTACCTAAAACTACAACAGTTGTATCTTATTGGCAACTAATTAAATACAAGAACGACATTATGTTCAAAAAACGTATGCTTCTATACTTCTTTAATCAAACCTAACTGCAATTTTCTTTATCCGTTTGATGCTGTCCACCATTTAATGTAGCTTCGGGATCCATTACAAGGGAATGCATTTATGATCAAAACCTTTACTCTATTTATAATTCTTCAATATGTCAGCCTTATTTTATAGAAGGACACAATTTCCTCGTAATCACACTGGAATGTTGTGATCCCTCCTCCTTGTCGTTAGAGCAGTGCCGTCTGTCGGGCAGTGAGCACTGCCATTGATGAATCTCAGTCTTTCACAGCTGTCACACACTGTGTCACTGACAGGTGTGCAAGGATGTGCTTGGTATAGTCCTGGGCCACATCGCGCACATGGCCAACACACTGCGTGATAAGAGTGGTGTGGAGAATAGCTGCCTGGCGCACATGGTGCACACTTCGTGTCTACCTCAGCTGAGCAGTGCACCACCACACCCCAGCCTGGCCCACACCTCCTACAATGCATCAGTCCACGGTGGCGCAGTCTACTGTACCCCATCTGTAACATATACACCTGGTACATATGATATGTAGAGTAGCTTCATGGTACACACTTCGTGTCTACCTCAGCTAGCAGTGCACCACCACACCCTAGCCTGGCCCACACCTCATACAATGCAGTAGTCTACAGTGACGCAGTCTACATAGTAACATACACAAGGCGTAGAGGCTCTTAAACAATACCGGGCATTGAGTTAATTGGAGAGTGTCCCCCGGCGTACTATATCACCGAATAAATACAGAGACACCCATTCTTTACTATACAATAATATTATCATAGATAAAACATACTCCTCTCCCTTAGTAGGCTCATACTTATGGAACAGCCGAAGCCAAGTTGTTTCAGTCATTTAAAACCCCGTTTAACCAAATAAAACGATCTAATCATAAACAAGGACTCATTCTAGTTATATAACAAAGCAGTAGATCACAAATCAGGGCCGGACTTAGGACTTCAGAGGCCCCGGGCGAATTTGCTGATGGGGCCCCCAGTATGATTATACGAGAACAAATACAGTACACAATGTAACGCATATAACATGCACACTAATTTTAAATAGGCAATTTCAATGTGAATTAATATGTAAACCTGTTAGAATAGTATGCTGTATTTTGCATAAACTAATTTTATGTAATATTGTAAGTCTGAAAATAGCTACAATGTACGGTGTTATGTTATGATTTGTTCTTGTTGTAATTGTATTTATAAAATTTTAATATACCTAGCAGGTACCTTACACATTTTTTTGCAATACATTAAAATGTAATATCCTTTGCAACAAATAATGAAAACTATAGATAAAATAAAAATAAAATAACACGTACTTGTAAAAGGTTTAATTTAATTTTTTTACTGTAATACACATTCTATTTGGTGCTTGAATGAAAACACAAATAAAAAATAACTAACATTAATTAATGGAATAAGTTATATTTAAACCTGTGATGTAAGTCAGAGATAATGCATAAAATGAAATGAAGTGAAATGAAATGAAATGAAATGAAGTGCTTTATTGTCGTTTTTCATAGTGTAAACTATTAATATTTAAAACCGCTATGTAAACTTTTAAAGCTTTAATATATTTTATAACTTACTATAATTTTACTAACAAACCTTTTACTAAGTTTATAAGATACAAGTCAAAACAATTTTAAAGTTTACTTTTTATAGATTAATCATTATAAGGTTTAGAACATAGTTATTTTCCCTATAAAAAAAATGTCACTTCCCACTCTGATACGTTGGTCACTTTGGCATGGCAATTAAAACCCCCTTTTCCTACATTTCTTGGCTGCACTAAAACCATAAACTATGACTTATGTTTATTTTCATAGTGGTTTTGGCATGGAATTCTCGTTTGTATAATATGTTAAAGCCCTAGCATGAAAAGTACCATTAAGAAGTTTAACGAGTTTGAGTTTTTTCTTGACGAGTAAAATGTTACAATACAAGTCTAATAACCAATCACAAGCTAACCATTTATATGAGTAACTGAAAGATGTTTAAATGTATTCAATATCTCAGATTAATACAACACAAACATAACATTCAATACAACATTAATTTGTTCTTTGTAGTGTTTGCAGAATTATTAATAAAATACAACACAAAAGTACGACAATGTCAACCAAAAACACACTAGGAGTTTTTTTTTTGATAGGCGATAAGGCATTGTATATGTATGTGTATGCGCGTGCGTGAGACAGACAGGACTAGACAGGATCCCTTATCAGCTCATTATCATTTATTGTTGCAGCTGCTTGTTGTTTTTTTACGATTTCAGTCGACAACTCTCGCCCGCTCCCAAATAATGTAATTTTTGTTAACATCAGACGACCCCATCGATATAAACAACTCACCCTAGTTGTCATAAAATGTCTATATAGATTTTTTTATCCTACTGGCGCTGTATGATTTTGACTCTAACGACTAAATTGAAGATCCAAATTTTGACGTATAACTTAATTACTATTTTACAAAACCTTTTATTGAATGGTTAATATAATACTTCTGCCCCTTAAAATCGTGATTGGCATATAATTAGAGGTAAAATAATAACATCTAATAAAACATAAACAGAGCAATGTTTTTATTTTTCAAAAGTATTAGAACTCCATTGAATCTCCATTTAACCCAACATAATTGTACAAGTTACGTTCTACGTTAGGACAAGAGTCTTCATATTATTTATTGTATTTTTTGCCCCAAGCGAAGGGGCCCCCTTCAACTCGATCGCCGCGGCCGTACGTTTGTGTGGACGGCTTCATTGAAACTCAAACTGGTCCGTCACATCCTAGCAGCTATGCTCGTGTTAACTAGGTCTAACAAGCGCGAACCCTGAGGAAAAGTCCCTTAGAGTCAAGAATTTTGGAACAATAACCTTAAACAGTATTAATAACTCTCGTTCTACACTTATTTATTACCAAACACAACAGTGTATCATGCCTATACTTTACTGATGATGTTATAACTAAGGTTAGCCTTCTAACCTATAACCTTAGTTAGGGGCTGGTAGGCTATGCCTAGGGATAGGCTAGACATAGGAATAGGCTAGTTTGACCCCCCCTCAAAACAGGCACGTTACATATAGGATAACAACAATAAAGCTGTTAAAAAAGAAGGCCATTCGGTAAGTGTCTGATTAATTTTCGAAGATATTAATAAAAACTACTGTGCAAGGGGCCCCTTTCGGGGCCCCCTAGGCCCGGGGGCCCCGGGCGCTCGCCCCGTCCGCCCCTAGGTAAGTTCGGCCCTGTCACAAATCATTAAATTAACTCTGAAATAATAGATACCGTACAAAATTTCGTCGACACTAGCGACCATAGTGTCACCGGACATGAACTAGGCACGAAAAAAGAGCCTAAAAATTTTACGATGGGATGGGAAGTCTGCTTGTTTTGGTTAGTCTATGTTATCTATGATAATATGTAGGTAGCTTAAAATAAGTTACGTAATAAGTAAGTGGCTATCTTAGTGAAATTATCAAATCAAAGTTTAGGATGATAAATAATTGCAGTTTCTAAAGTCAATGTTATACGATATAGTGACATATTCACACGGGATGAATTTTGGCAGTTGTGAGATAAGATCAACGTGTCCGTGGGAACAGATGTGTGCGAATGTTGAGGTGGAAGCGCGCTTCGCGCTTCGACGACCGCCATCACCCTAGCACGGGGCGTCACAATAATTACTACCATAGGCCTACTGCGACCGACAGCCTACCTGTCGACAACGGGGGTACAGGACGTGTGAATGGAACATAGTGTAGATAATGAAAAATTAATACATTATGTAAATTTGTCTTTATACTGCATCGAAAACTTGAGTTTACAATACATCTACAAGCAACGCGGTGTTAAAGTAGTTATTTCATTCCCTGTACAGAAAAAAATTAGTCGTGGCCATCATTTCTGGCTTTAAAATTCTTACACTTATTTTCCAAAGAAGATGTTTCCAAATTGATACACTTAACTTTTTTTATCGTTATTAGAATTTGTTTTTGTTTATCATTGTATCATAATCCGACTATGTCTTTATTGTGTCACATACAAACTCTGTCCCGGATAAGGGGTATTTTTAAGAATTACCCACACATATCATATATTAAAACATGCAACTAGGTGTGTCACTGATTCAAATATCAGTTGAACACCATACATTCCAGTAACGAAGTTTTTGTTGAAGACTGCATTAAATTGATTTGTGATCACAGCATTTCAGACAACTTCAAATAACACTAAAATTATAGGACGGTAAATTTATTGAACCAATAGGAAAACAACTCTGCTATGTTAAGTTATTGACGGATTAAAAACTTAGTTTTTCTAGTTAAGTCGCCTTCTCAAAAGCATTTACTTTCAGAGTAATGTGAAAAACTATGCCTAATAGAAGTAAAAATAAATCTGTCCACGGTACAAGAAACAATACAACCCTGGGACACGGAGAATACTTTATTTGTAAACTTAATGATGTCTGTAAATGGTAGCCTACATGTTCCTCGCAGAGTACCAATACCGCTTAACCACAAAATAAAACATAAATTGACAGAATCAGAAGCAAATAAATATGATCAAAAAGTATCCGTACCTTCTGGGGGGATTTGCATAGTTTTCGTTACACACGAAATGATAAAATACGTGCTTGTTTTGAACGAATATGACAATTTACAGCAATAAGGTGTAACCTTCATTGAAAACTGTGATGGTCGTTGCAATCTAGAGTGTTATTTAAACATAGGTTTATGATTCTTGTAAGATGACCTACGGTAATGTCAATGACAACCTTCAAAACTGAGCAGGAGACACCAAATACATCCTGGTGATTCGTACCATCATTTGAAAAAAATCATTGAAGATTTGTTGACAATTCATTAGAAATTGTAGCACAATTTGAATCGAGAAAAAGAGTACTTCTGTCTCTGATACCTGCTGTCTGTGGAATTTGCAGTATTTATTTCTCTCTTACGTAGTTACCGTAGACATTTGCAAATTTAAGTATCTGTGAATTATTTATAAAGTTTATTTTAATTGTTATTGTAATACAAATCCCTAAAACACGAATCGGTGTTATTAGAGGATATAGTTGCGGAACAGGCGGGTCCCGGAAATGACAGGTGTGGGCTGTGACTGTCACAGTCAACAATTACTATGGGTCGTCCAACAATCAGCTGTTCGACAATCAGTTGTGACAGTACCATCTGGATCTGGGGTCTAGCTCCAATCACGCGACACTATAATAAAACAGCTGTAATAGAGGATATTTTGTTATTCTTTTTCTAGGTTGATGCAACTAGTGTTAAAGGTGTTTTTACAAAAAACCCAGTGGGAAAACTTCTTTTCATGGAATATTTTTTAATAACAGAAACATTTGATCGAATATTTACAGTTATTCTGTCAAAAACGTGTTTAGGGGTTGTGTTTGAATAATGAAACATGGAGAGTTTATTTAGATGCTCGTAGGCACGATAATTGTTAAAATCAATCGGACGTTTGATTAAA